GACCCGAATATACTGAGGAACTCAAAAGCACCTAAGCTGGCTCTGGTCCAGCAAGTCTTGTTAGGGGAGGCATAGCAAAAACATGAGATATTTCTCCATCTGTCCCCTGAGTAATGAGTCTGTATGATACTGAATTTATGTTCTCCACTTACCACTAACACACAAGTTCTCTGCACTCCCAATACGTCAAATCTGACTTTTCACCTAGATTTCCTAATAAACCAAATATATTATAGAATCATAGAATGCTTTGGGTTGCAAAGGACATTAAGACCATCTAGTTCTACCCCTCCTGCCATGGGCAGGGACACCTCACACTAAACCATGTCACCCAAGGCTCTGTCCAGCCTGGCCTTGAACACTGCCAGGGATGGAGCATTCACAGCCTCCATGGGCAACCTGTTCCAGTGCCTTGCCACCCTCACAGTAAAGAAATCTAACCTGGACTTCCCTGTTTAAACCTGTCACTGTTTGTCCTATCACTACAGTCCCTGATGAAGAGTCCCTCTCCAGCATCCTCAGGTACTGGAATGCTGCTGTGAGGTCTCCATGCAAACTATGTTTCGGTTTCAGTAAGATTTTTCTGGTCCTCTGCTTTATGGTTGGCAATGAAGTTTCTGTTTCAGACTAGTACTTTTTCAGTTAAATACTTAATAATCCAGCATTTAAAAACTGCAGTTTTTTAGAAACGTTGCTAAATCAGCTACAACTGCCAAATGTGCTAGAACCAAATTCAGGAAAGTGATAAATAGTGAAAAAGGAGAGCTTTTAGTGAAGATCTCTTACAGGTTTTATATATCTCATATTTTCAGCCATTCACCTGTTTTTAGCATAGTAATGCAAACTCTTAGATAAGTAATGTAAACCCAATACTGCAGATTAAGTCCCGTAGTAACTTTTCAAGGACTGCTTAGGTATTGCTTAAGGACCACCCTTAGGGTGCAACAGACAAAGTTGAAAGTGGGCTGCATGTGGAGGGCTTTGTGGAGAAGGGAACAGAGATAGCAGGAAAAAGGCTGTGAATTTTATAGACGATGTCAATGCTGTAGTACTTTCACAGGGGTATGTTTCGGTAGAAGATAGGTTAGAAGAGTCTGCCCTGTCTTCTAAGGCTTCTTTTAAGCCTTAAAAGGCATGTTTATAGTATTGTGGCTTTGGAAAGGAGCTTTAATATCATGTCAGACCTATTTTCAGAAGATACATAGTAGAGACAACTAAAGACAGTAGCTAAGCAAGGTGGTAAGAATATAAAGGGAAGATTTCAGAACTCAGTGAGTACACTCAGGAGAGGTGAAAACAAGAATTTTGGCAATAGCCTTCAGGCAGAGCAAAAGGACAAGTGAGGTGATAGCCTAAAATATCAGAGAATAGCTTGGGTGTTAAATGTCCTGAAAACCAAATGAATTGCACCAAGAGTCTTCAACATCTTTCCAGGACATGAAGGCTATCCAAAACTGGTTGGCAACATGCTGTATTTATGAACAGGTTTAAATAAAGTTGCTGCAGATAGCAAGGTTTGGATGTAAAACACAGAAAGATGACACAGGGCAACGCAGCTCAGCTGTAGCTTTGTTGACAGGTCCTACACAGGCAAGAGCAGAACTCAAGGTGGCCTAGCCCATCAAGAAGGAAAGACCTTTGGGGTCAACTTTTCAGGTATGTCATAGCTCAAGTCACTGGACTGTGTAGATTGACCAAAGCCCTGCTGTGACAGGCTGTGGCTTGGAGTTTCACTTGCCCAGTTGTGTGGATCAAGCTGGCACCACAGACTCTCACAAAGGTCAATAAGAGGAATACAAGTCTGTGCAAGCTCAAAGATAACAATATAAGATAACAAGTCACAGAATAACCAAAAAGGGAACAACCCTGAATATTAATTTGTGATTAGGACACAAACTGAGCCCAACTCATCATGAGCACTGGTCTCATGCTTGATTGGCTTGAAAGGGATGAACATGGGGCGTAAGAAAGAAATATAGACAGAAGCCATTACACTCTGCCGACTCAGACTAGCTGCCCACTGGCAGATGGACCAACAGCACAGCCATGAGCAGGAGCACCCCTGATCCCAGCTGCCAGGGAAGACAATCTGACACAGTGTGGCTCGAGTCTGGTGAGGACATGCTCCATGTGTCCAAGGCCAGGTTGGACAGAGGGAGCAATGTTAAATTTATGTGAATTCCACATTATTTTGTTGCAGTAAGTGGTGCTTCTCTTGAAGTTCACAGTAGGGTACAAGCCTTAATCAGTCTAATCCTATGCTATTAGTTTGTGTGACATGTCTGTGACAGGCCATAAGGATGTGACTGTTGCCCACTGCCTGAGTTACACCCTGCCTGTTCTTCATTTTCAGCTTCAGTGGGCTGTCCCAGAATCCCTGCTTTCCCTGTGTTGTCATTTTAGTTTAGAATGGGTAAACTTGTGTGTCCCTGCCCATGGCAGGGGGGTTGGAACTAGATGATCTTAAGGTCTTTTCTAACCCTAACTATTCTGTGATTCTATGATTTTCCTTATATTTTACCACATCACTGCAGACTAGAGTAGACTATCATGGCCCACATGCAAAGAATGTTAGCTCTCTTCTGGGCTCCTTTTCAAATGAAAACAATGGTGTTATGCTCATCCCCTGCTTTAATATGAAGCATCCTTTAGAGGGAAATGGTCTGAGCTGTTACATGGCAGAATGGGGTTGGAAAAGGGCTCTGTGTCTGCAGTTCCGGGAGGTTTCTGAGCTGCTCTGCTTCTTGTTCACCAATAGATGTCAACACTTTTCTAAAACTACAGGCCACAGGACTTGCATTTAGGCAACTTCTTGTTTGTTTTGTTTGGGGATTTTTTATTATTTTCTAGTAAGGTTCTGATTTGTTCTGTGCTTCTACTGCTTACTGTTATTTGCTAATCTCATTTATGGGATATGTGCTGTCCTGTTTAGATCACAGATGTAGATTTGTATAGGATTTTGTGTAGACATCTGTCCATAGATAGCACAGCAGCATTTTACTAGGCTTAGAAATCAGCTGACCAATTCTCCTGCATTTTTACTAAAAAGGTACTTATTTTTTTATAATAACTAAACGCTGTGGTGGTTAAAAAAAAAAGGAAATTCCTTTGGTAATTGCTTTCTTGACCCAATTTTAGAGTTGTCATTAACTTACAACCTAGTCTACTTCTTTGGCTCTATTTCCCTTTGCTGCATTTAGCTTTGTTTCTTTGACTTTTGTTATATAACGTTAGAAATGCTTTTTTTGGTGTATTTTTTTCTAAATTTGTCTTTCCCATGCGAGCTTTCTGGCTTGGCTGCCTCCCACTTCTCCACTGCACTTCTCCAGTAGTGTCAGGGGCAGTTCAGCTTGGACATTAGGAGAAGGGTCTTCACTGAGAGGGTGGTCAGTCACTGGAACAGGCTCCCCAGAGAAGTGGTCATGGCACCAAGCCTGTCAGAGTTCAAGGAGCATCTAGATGACACTCTTGGTAATATTGTTTAATTTTAGGTAATCCTGTGAGGAGCAGGGAGTTCAACTTGATGATTCATGTGTTTTCCTTCAAACTTGAGATATTTTATGCTTCTGTGACCTCCATGAGGTGCCTTCTTTTTACAGTAGCTTTGAGCAGTTCACTTCATTGTGCTTATGCTTTCAGAGCTGTTGAAAAGGGTGGAGAAGCATGCAGAACATACCTGAGATGTTCAGTCTTGGAGACTTTGAAGCATACCTGGTGCTTGGTTATGGTGCAGGCAGATAGACTGTAAATCTGCAAGACAGGAAAGACTGGAAAGCCCAAGAGTCACCGTATTTAGAACAGCAGACAAATCCCTAGGAATTGTCTCACTTGCTTAGGCTGCCTGTGTTCCTAACAAGTGATCCACCTGGTGGCTGTCCTGTGCCTTTTGTCTTTTCCCTCAGGTATCACATAGTCCCCTACTTTTTACTCATGAAGATCCTCACAGGCTTTACAAGGACCTCAGAGACTCACCCCAAAGTGACCGAGCATCTGACATTCAAAGGCTATTTCCCTTACGCATCCTTAGAGCCCCCCCCCCCCACCTTATATTTCTCCTAGAGATATCCCTCCTGAGTGTACCAAGGGGTATCCCTTCCTGTGTACCACATCCCTTTTGCCTGGGTATGATGGCTTCTTGGGCAGCAGATGATGCAATCTGAAGTCTGCATTTAATGAAGCCCATGTACGTCCCCTCAGAATTTTGTCCCATTTTCAGAGGCAGAAGAAAGACTAGGAGAGAATTAGTAATCTGGCAGGATTTATAAATGTATGCTCCAATACTTAGTCTCGATATTCTCAGATCTGCGGGAAGTGGATGTGGCATCTCTCTGGATGTGAGAGGTGGCAGGGGCAGGAGGGAAGACAAGGAACTGAATCTTTAACTCACTCAAGACACTGTCATGGGGAGCTTCCACTTCCGTGTTAAGAAGGGAGGCAGCTAGGAACCAAGATATTTCTCTTCCCTCTGTGTTGTGCACAGATCTCATAGTTGTTTCCCTCCTATGTAACATGACATACAGCTCAGTCTCCTGCAGCATCCTACGATTCTTGTTCAACACAGGTGTTATCTGTGCCTGCTGGGTCTTCTCCCTTCTCTCTGTAGAAAGAGGAGTTCATCTGTAGTTGTGTCTGCTTGGGGTCTAATGAGTACTCTCTCCTTCCTTCTCTCCACACTAAAATGGTTAATACAATGGAAACAGAGAAATTGTGATTACATAGAAATTGGGAATTCTGTTATATGGTGATAGTTGCATTCAGGTTAAGAGAGAATTCAAATCCTTACCAAGACAACCACACCTTGTTCTGGAAAAATGCCAGGGAGCACCCATCGTTTTATTTGCGTGGAGTTTAGGATGTTAGCTTTCAAATCCTGTGTTAAGAAGGATGCGAGCTAATAAGTCAAGATTGTTTTATACTACAAACCTAGTCCTATAGGGTAGTCCTCTGTAGAATACGAATTGCTGAAACTAGCCACCTTATTTTTCTCTCCCCTACACTAGGGTCAGTGTATCAGTACGTTAGTATCAAATTCACAGAAGCCACCAGAAAAAAACGTTAGTCTTTTCCCAAGCCGTGTCACTACTCTGTTGCATGACTCCTGGTAAAACAACCTAAACCACTTAGACCTCGTGTTTGCCTTTATGTTTGTCTTTAAATGTAGGGCTTATTCAAACCTGGGAAAACAAAGCTGGAATTCAGACTAAGCTAGCAAACCAGCACTAAATTACTGGGCAATGTAATTTTTATCATATGCTAATCAGCAGTGTTGACTCATAAATCCTATGTAAAACAACAGTGGAGTCCCACGAGAGTCTGGGTGAAAAAAAAACCAGGAGCTTGCAGGCATGTCCAGAGGATAAGCAATGGGAATTGTACTGTCATTCTTGCTCAGGTTGCTGTTTCCAAGCACCCCGTGGCTTGTGACAAATCCAAATCAAGGATGCTGCTTCTCCAAGGATTTTTCTATTTCCCTGTGTTTGCATGCCAAGAATTTGCTTTCAGGGTAGCCAGATCTGAAATGCATGTGAAGATCAGAGAATGCAGCTCCAGTGCTGGCATGGTGCTGCCAGGGAAACGGCCGGGCTGGCCCCGGAGCAGCTCCCTCCCTTGCCACAGGCATTGTGCTCCAAGTCAGCCTTGTGAATCCTGAATGGCAGGAACTGGGTGTGACTGAGCCGTACTCTGCCCCAAAACCTTCCTGTTTTCACAGTCACAGCCGCCTAGGCTCAGCAGAAGATAACCGGTGAAGACCTGAGCTAAACTTTCAAACTGAGGAAGCCTGAATAAAGCACTTGACCCATAGACCTCAAAGGGCTGGGCAGTCGAGGTCAGTACCACTCTCCTTACTTTGTAGACAGGAGAACAGGTGAAACAAAGCTACAGAAGAGGGAAATTTTTTCCTTGAGATCATGGGGCATTTTGGATCAGGGAACTAGCGCATGAATCTCCTATGCTCAAACCTGCTCGTCTAGGTACTGTGACTTAAATTCACAGTTACTCCAGGGGAGTTGGTTGTCTCCGTAATTTCTGCTGCCTCTCCTCCCACTCGCAGCACCTCCTAATACTAATCAAGGGCTCACAGTGCCTGATCAGAGGTACAATTTTGGAATATCATCTCGCAGCAACTGTGTGCAGCTCAGTATGTATCCAATTAGGAATTAAAATGTGAACTGCATGTTTGAATTATGCCATGTGTTGTGTTGATAAGGTCTTTTAAATTCCTGGCTATTTCCATGTAAACCACCTCTATCAGGCAAGTTCCTTGTAGACTTCCTGGAGCCTCTGGCACTCTCCTGCTCTGTATAAATCATTAATGGGAAAGTGAATACTTTTATTTCCCTGTTCTCCTCCATGATGCATAGCAGAATTTACTGAAACAATCACTTTCTTTTCCTCCATCATCTTGATATACTTGTGGCTCCTGTTTAAATTGTAAAGAGTTTGATAACAAAGTCAAACAAGCAAACAAAAAGAATTCAAATATCTGGAAAAGTTGTGCCCACAAAGCCATTTCCAGTAAATGGTTGCCATGTGTTTGGAGTTCCTACTAGACAACAGAAAAATGACTCTCTAGGGTTGTTACAGCTGTTTGTGATTGCTGAGCCATTCTGTACTGACTGTCTTCTCTCCACCAGATAGGTGTGACCTGAAGATGAAGCCCTCTGCCACCTATGAGATGTTAGTAAATGGTGTCGGGCCATGGGACTTCACTGGTGGTTTTGTTCCTTGTGAATTGCTGCTTGTTGGAGAGGATGCCTATCCTGTACTTTTGAGCTCTAAGAAGCAGGTTCTGATTGCTATTTCACAGTATGGGAAGGGCCGGATGGTGGTTGTTTCCCATGAAGGAATCTTGAAGGACTCCAAGTTTTACCAGTTCCTCACAAATGCTGTGGAGTGGCTCAAGCCTTCCCCCGAGGCCCTGGTTGGGGTCCATCCTCGTTTGGATTCCCTCTCCCAGCTGCTACTCGGGGCTGGCACCAAAGTACATGTTGGGGCAGAGCTTAGTCCCTCCCTGGGGGTGTACTGTATGGAGGCCTATGACTGCACGCAGGCAAAAGACCTGATTGAGTTTCTAAAGGGAGGCGGAGGGCTGCTTGTTGGTGGCCAAGCCTGGTACTGGGCTAGTCAACATGGCAAGGAGAAGGTGCTGTTTGAATTCCCTGGGAACCAGGTGACCAGTGTGGCTGGTGTGTACTTCACAGGAAATGCTGTGGAGAAAGGCATCTTCAAAGTTGCCAAGAAAATTCCCAAGATCCCATTAGTTGTCCCGTAAGTATCTGAATTGCTCTCCATCTAAACAACTGATTAGGTTATGCAGGTGAGGTGTTTATAGAAGATTCTTGAGGTGAAAAATGAGGACGATGGTGAATGCTGGTTCTTTAATAGCCAGGGTGGGATACAACTGTCTTTTTCTAATGGAAGGGGAATCTCTCCACTGGTTGCAATCAGAAAGTAAGGTGTCTTTGCTTCCAGAACAGCTGGGCCAGGCCTGGGGAATTCATTGGAAGAGGAAGGAGAAGAGGAGAGCCGTCTTTTAGAGCAAACTGCCTGACAAAATGTGTCTGAGTACAACACAGAACATGGGGACAGGAGGAGGTACCTCTCCCTCTCCCAACACGTGTGTACAGGTTCAGGGCAAGTTTCCCACAGTTCAAAACCAGGTTGGAGATGGAGCACCAGGCTAGCCCTCTGGGCCAGGGTGTGGCTGGCATCTGCTAAACCTGTTTAGCCTGTTGATCGCAGAAATTCACCTTCTGCAAGTGGAACCTTGGGGCTATCAAATGGCTGAGGAGGTGGGCTCTGTGCCACATCTCTTCTCCGCTCCTGACACAGGCTGTGGGCAGGAAATCTCCATGCTCCCAGTTTGTCTGAGGCACGTACTGTGCCATATGCCTGGGTACACACTGTGTTGACAAAGGGTCTCAGTGAAGTAATAACCAGTGGGAAGCTGCAGATTTAATTCCTGCCCTATGGGCATGCAGAAGGGTGGCATTGTTTATTCTTACTGGGTTGGCTGCAGTGGCCATGTAACAACAGATTTTTTGCAGGATTTGGGGGAAAACCATGTTTGGCAGAACCAGGAGAAAGTGTAAGCAAAGTAAATGAAAGTAATTCAACGTGTCTTTCTCCACAGTAACATACAGGAGTCATTTGGAAATAGCAGAGATAAGAGGGCCTTACACAGTATAATCTCTTTACATTGTGGAGGCCAACTATCAGTAATGTGGGGATTGTGTTAGAGCCCTGATTCATTTTCTAGTCACTTATTATTTCTCTGGCTGTGTGTCTGCCTGTCCATCTTGCCCATCTGGCCTAGCTCAACAAGGCACACAGAAACCTTTTGGGCTTGCCTAGTTCATAATGACCAGGGTAGGGTAAATGGAGAAAGTTTCTGTTTAGGAGGTAACAGAATGATGAGATAAATGACGTGCCAGTTCCCACATCTTTTGCAGTTTAAACAATACAGAAGGTGTTCTGATTTTTTAGTTTATGCAATGGATTTAGATTGTCAAGCTGCTCTTCATAGGTCTTGAAACTTTGTTTCGACCTCTTCTTTATCTCTGTTCTTTTAAATATGTGCTGAGATCTTTACGGATTTGCTTGGCTGTAAAAACTGAGGCTTTAAAAAGGGAAAAATGAGGTACTGGTGAATATTTTATTTTTTATGAAAGAACTGATAACATAATGTACTAGGATAAATAATAAGAAGAGGGTGAGCTGTGCAAGGTGGCCTTTTGTGCAAAAGATTCTGAGGCTGCGGCTAATCTGGACCTCTCTTGGTTCTGCAGGCACCAGGCCAACCTCAGCCGTGATGCTGAGTTTCTCCTGAACGGTGTGTTGGAGTTGGATTTGGTGACTGGGGGCATACCCTCCACCTTACTGGTGCACGGCGAACTCTGCTTCCCTCTCTGCCTGGACAGCTCACACCGCTGCCTCTTAGCTGCGGGACGCTATGGGCGAGGCCGTGTTGTGCTGGCAAGCCATGAGAGCCAGCTGTTCTCCCCAAAGCTGTCCAGATTCCTGCTCAATGCTATCTACTGGCTGGATGCTGGGAAAAAGGGGCTGGTGGGTGTGGATACCAGCCTGAAGAAACTGTGTAGCCTCCTCTCCCAGGGAAAGGTGAAGTCGCAGGTGTCACAGCTGACAGGCGACATGAGTGTGTACTGCTGCTCTTCTCACGGCATCAGAGAGGCGGAGAGGGTTCACACTTTTGTGGCAGAGGGAGGTGGCCTACTGATCGGGGGCCAGGCTTGGTACTGGGCTTCCCAGAACTGCGGCAAAGCTGCTGTGGCACAATATCCCGGCAACAAAATCCTGAATCGCTTTGGGCTGAGCATCCTGGGGCAGAGCACCAAGGCAGCTAAGTACCTGCCTGTGGGGCCTGGGGAGCACTACCACTTCCGCAAGGCACTCGCTCTTTTCAGCAGGCATGTAGACAAGCATGAGGAGGTCCAGGCCCCCATGAAGGACTGGCTGCAAAGGCTAGCACAAGACTGCGCTGCCTTTCTGCACATCCCAGCCCATAACTGCCCTGCGTATGCTTCGCTCCACCGCATCCTGACCAAAGTGCTTCAGAGAAGCGGGATCCCGCAGGTCAGCAAGCAGTGCCCTGTCAAGAGCAACTCCAAAGAGGCAGTCCTTCTGTGCATGGCAACTGAGCTGTCCTTAACCATGACAGACAGTGCAGCCCTAGTGCAGAAATCTGCTGCTGGGGTCTGTGCCAGTCCTATCACTGTGGAAATTGATGGCACAAACCCAGGTGAGGAGCATATCTCACTTCTTTCTGGCATCCTGTTGCGGGGATTGGTGGGGTGTCTGTCCTCAGCGTCCATGTGTCTGCGCACATCTGAACACGAGCACAGATGTGCGGTTTCACTGTAGACTTGTGAGGAGGCTGTCCTCTCTGTAGTGGCAGACAGGCTGTTTATGTGACCAGCCCTGATTTCAGCACTCTGAAACACCCCATGAAAGTCCTGTTTCCTCACTGTTGGGGCACTATCACTTTCGGCAGAAGACCCGCCTATCAGAGGTGCCTCAGGGTACCTGGACAACACAATGGCTTTGGCAAGAAAGCTTCCTTGAGAAACCCTAGTCTCTAAGTTGCAGGTTGCTGTTGCCATAGTTGTGCTGGTACAACTGTCCGTGGGGCCATCCTAGGAAGAGGTAGGAGTTAGGAACTACAGGCTTGGTTTTTATCTTGATAATTTCGGCAAGTTGTAGCACAGTCTCACAGCTTGTGTTAGCACAGTTGATGGAGTGAAGGTCTGGTTTCGGGGTGAAAATGAGGCTGAATATATTGGATCGGGCACAGTATTTTTGACCAGAAATGCTCAGAATTTGTATCATTTTGCATAAACAAAAGAAATGCTAGGAAACCCTGGACACCGTTTCAAAACTGCCTTTGATGCAAATTCAGCAAAACTGAGAAAAATTGGTGAAACATTGTGATATGGTCTAATTCGCATTTTTCCTTGGATTAGGTTTTGCTTGACAAAACCAGTCGTGCCTTCTTAGAGGGCAGGAAAGGCTGTCATTTGGGTGCTTTATGACAGTTCAGCTCTTTTTTAGGACTTCTGCTGTTTGCGTTGAAATATGCTTGAGTAAACTTTATGTCAGAATTAGGGAGTGGATTTTGCCTGATCAGTACAATAGAGATGAATCAGTTTTGTTCTGTGTATCACAAATGGTTACAGAGACTTAGGCAGAGGAGACTTGCATTTCCATGGGAAGACTGTCTAAAACCACTATAAATTGTAGTGGTATGGTGGGATACTCATCTTACAGTTACACCTAGCATAGCAAAGCATTTTAGGCTTTCTCATAGCTTCAAGGCAGCTAGAAATGGGAATTCCTGGTGCTGGGCCAGTCAGTAAGGAAAAATGCAGTGTCACTGTTGGTCTGTTATTTAGGAAATGTTTTATGACCATTACAACTTCAGACATGCGTAATACCACCACAATATGCACCTCTTTTGAGGCCTTTAGGGTAAGAGGGTGGGAGTGGAGGGGTGTAGGGGTTTTGGTTTCTTCTCTTTTTTTCTTGTTTATGATGATTATTATTTTTGAAAGATACTAATAAACACACTTAAGCTTGGCATTTACAGAAGTTCAAGTCTGGGTGGGCCTGCTTGCTAGTGGTGTGATGATCTTCACACTGGTACCCTATTGCTTTAAAACTGTATTTCTGACAGGCTGGGTAAAACCTGAGACAGTTCTGTGAGTGTAGAGCAAGGGAAAATAAAATGAATGAAGAGTCTTTTGTTGCAGCTTGAAATCTCCAGAATCTGTAACCTCAGGACAAAGAAGTGCTGGGCTATTTAAGACTGTGTTCTCTTACATTTTAGGTAAGACAGCCTGGAGGAGTACAGGACTCTATGCCCCTGAAGGGCACACAGCAGTTATATCGTTCCCTTGCCAGGTGGTGAGTGCTGGCCTAAAGGTAAGCTGTCTCTAATTTGGCTTCTGTTTACACCCATGTATTTGTCAGGTGAGCATTCAAAAATAGCATCAAGAAGGTTTTTCTCACTGGTTTTGCTGCCTTTTCAGTCATTTCCTACTGAAGGCATCTGTATTGGTGGGTTTTGTTGTTACTGTGCAAAGAGAACTGATCAAGGTGATTTTCAGGGCCAAGATACTGTGCAAAGAGAACTGATCAAGGTGATTTTCAGGGCCAAGATACAGAGAGTCCTTCTATGCATCAAATTGAGTTCTGTCTCTCCAGATCTCTCATAAGGTACTTGCACAGTGCTGTCACTATTGCTGTGTAGATGTATCCAGATCAGGTATAAACTGGTTACTTGGGATCTTGTTCTCTGCAAAGAACAAGCAGATAAATGCTTACCTGCTTGGATATTTTTTTTGCAGTGAGCTCCCTGCAGCTGACATGCAAAATAAACTCAGGTGTTTCTCTCCAGTTTCTCTCCGTTGCTCTACAGCCACATGCTGTCTGGTTTACTCTATGAGGAGCAAGGATGAGGCACAATAAAAGAAGCCAACAGTGATCACATCTCTCCAACTCATATGTTACAGAATGTGACTGGTGCTGGTGAAGGGTGAAGGAATTAGCAATGCAAGTACAATGCAACAACAGATGTCACTGCAGTACCCTGAACTGCTGGTGAAAGCTGTAGTTGGGCCAGTAATAATGGGAGTATAGCTGTAAGACTGCCTGAGATAGGGATAGCACTAAACTTCACCAGTGTTTTTTTTCACTCTGTTTGCTGCTTCTTGTCACCACAGGATGAAAACTTGCACTAGGCTGGAAGGCCTCCTGTGTGTGTCCCCTGCAGGGACAGTGCTGCAGCAGATGATTCAAGGTGTTGTGGTTGGTCTGCCAAGTCACACTTGGAGCCCTTTGACCAGCTGTTCCTATCCTCCTGTTTTCCAGGTTCAGATTGGGTGTCACACGGATGACCTCTCTCATGCCACAGAGCTGAAACGGGCCCCAGTGGTAATACGCACATGTGATATTGCCAGCCAGAAACAGACTGTTTCCTGCCTCTGGGGTGGCCTCATTTACATCGTAGTACCAGCAAAGAGCAACCTGGGAAAAGTGCCCATCACAGTGGAAGGGGCAGTCAGAGCTCCTTTCTTCAAGCTTGGTAGGTTTGTTTACCTTGGTGCCTTTCTCCTTAGCACTGTTCAAAGATGCTGCTGTCCTGTGCCTGAAAGAAAGGATGATTCTGTGCTTAGGAATAGCTTAGAAATGCCTGGGGTTAGGAATATCTGTATTTAGTTTCCTTGCTTCGTTGTCCTCTGGGATTCCAGGACTTAGTCACACTGCGCCTGTTACATGGCAGGAGACAGGTGAAGGAGCTGTCACAAAATGGGCAGGGTTTGTCCAAACCAGCATTTCTTGGATGTTGGAGTTGTCATTTCTGATGGAAACCATTGTGTTGGAAGGAGACAGGCTGACCCTCTGTCTCAATAAAGCTTGCTTTGACTTCTGCCTGCTTTACTGTGCCCCCGTACGGCCATTTCTAGTCTCTACAGTAAATCTCTGCTGAATTTCCCATGTTGCTGTCAGTGTCTCTTCTATTACACCGTTTCTTCTTGCTCTTCTGTCAGACTAAAGAAAACCAGGGTTGTTATATGAAACAGCAAATCTCTGATGAAGAAGAAGAAATGAGGTCATCAAGAGACACTAGAGAAGCCTGATACTTCTTGTTCTCAGATGAAAAACAGGGATCTGTTCTAGCTATGCTACTACTCTGTTATATACCAGTCCTTTTCTGTCTGTTTCCCACCCATTAAAGAGCCTGAGGAGACTTCTCAAGCACAGCATAAGGATTAACTAGCTAAAAGCCACCACCTCAGTCATGCAACTACCACATACTGTTTTCTAAGAGAATTTAGTGACTGTGGTCTCTTTCTCCAGCTTAACCTCTGGGAGCATGTTCAAAAGTCAGATCTGTGCTAACCCACTTTTCTGTGTTATTCACGTAGGGGAGACCTGTGAAAGAGAGTGGAAAGCCTGTATCCGGCACTACCCTGCTCCCTGGGCAGAACTGGCTGTGGAGAGTCTCATCCTGACAGTGCCATCTGACAGCATCCGGCACATGGAGAACCCACAGCCACTGCTGACCCTGTGGAACGAGATCATGGTGGCAATAAGCAAATTGGCAGCCATACCAACAAAATTCCCAAGGCCAGAAAGGATTGTAACAGATGTCCAGATCTCATGTGGTAGGTACATTGCCATGTGGCCTTCTCAAGGGCTAAGAGACAAGTGGCCTCTAGCACCAATGTCTGTTACTTCAAGGTTGTTTTGCAAGGCGCAGGCTGGGAATATATGTAACGTGTTAAATGACTGTGACCCATGCATAATTGTGAGCTATTTCATCAGGATGAAAACATGGTAAGGGAGGGTTTGAAAAATGTATTGACCCTTTCAGGTGCCTCCCACTCTCTCTGAGCGTTGTCTCGCTCAGCTCTTCTTCTGCCTGCTTGTGTTAAGAGGCAGAGCTACTGACTACAGTGGCTTTGACTTGCGTGTAGTTCTCATTCATTCTCCCTCCTGAGTGCACTGTAGAGTTAGTAAAACTGGGAGACAGCAGTCTGATTTCTGGTTTTGCCCTGCCTCAGCCACAGGACTGTTCTCACACATTCAGTGCCAACTCTTGGACCTGTGTGTGCCTACCTGCTCCACAGGTATTGGTGGTTACTGTGGGCAAAGCTTCGCCAGAAAAGATATGTGCCCGAGGTGATGGCAATGGAGAATTAGAACCAGTATCACTGTCAAAGCTCATGACTCTGTAGTTTTGCAGCTGTTGCTCCATGCCCTCCTGAGCTCCCTAGTTCTAAACTAAGTGGATTTTACCTACAGTCAAACTATATGGTAAATGTGGAACTCTGCAATGCAAGTTTTGTTCAGCTGTTTTTCAAAATAGATGGATAAATTCATCATTCCACAATGAGACGAGGGCTTGGCATGAACATTAATGTCCTAACCCTTTGCTAAGCCACATGGAAAGAATTTGTTGCACATCTTGGGAGCAAATGCCAGTTTAAAAATCATAGTCTGCAGACATAAAATTCCTTTGTGTTTTGGGTGGAATAAATGGTTTCACTCACATTTTTGGACCTGATCTTTTTAGGTGCCAGTGGCTGCTAAATACATGTATCCGTCTTACTAAAAAAAAGAGGGAGCTCAAGATCTTAAATGGTTCCTGCAGGAAGGGGCTTGCCATTCATGTTCTCAAACTTGCTTCATGTTCTCTACAACCTGGGTGTTGTAGACAAAGAAAGTTGTGTAGGCTCCCTATGTAGTGAGTGTAAAGGGCTGCTTAATCCCCTGCTACAATAGGTGTTTGAGTTCAGGTATGTGACTCTTGTATAAAGTTTTGGGAATCTTCAAAAATAAGGACAAATTAGGAACGAAGACAGCAAGGAGACTTAAATAAAATCCCTTGCAGTGCAAGATTCTTGCCTAGCATGATGCTAGGAAGTTGTTTATAAAATAGCTCTCTCTGAGGTTAAAAACAGGCTTAAGCATGACCAGCTTTCAGCCCTTTAGCATGACAAGCTGTGACTTCCATGTGTCTCATCCATACTGCTGATTACTGGAGCACAGACATGCAGTATCCATACTCTGCACAGGAAGACTCAAGCTCTGCCAGGGTGCTGAACCACATTATTGCATGGTTGGATTGACATCAACTGTGCTCAGTTTGTGAGAGTTCAGGTGTATTGTGGGCAACAGTCAGGCTTTTTCCTTCGTCCTGAAATCTCAACTTCAGTCCAACCATGAGCTTATGCTTGTGTAAAACTGTGCTTAACTGACCCTTCTAGCAGTACTACCTTTATACTGTTTATTTGATTATTTGTTAGGGTGCAGTATAGTATTTCCGTATCTCACAAAGGAAAAAAGTTTTCATTCGTGGTAATATGGTGTGATATGTGAGATGAAGGAAAGGCACTAGAGAATTGAAAGGAAAATACACAGTCATTTATGTCTAAGAGGCATTGGGGTGATCACTTATGATGTGTGTTGGTACCTGTCTTTCCTGCAGGCTGGATGCATGCTGGCTACCCCATCATGGGGCACCTAGATTCGGTGAAGGAGATGTTAGATGTGAAGCATATGCAAACTACTGGTCTTTGGGGTCCTGTCCATGAGCTGGGACACAATCAACAGCAGCAAGGATGGGAGTTTCCTCCTCATACCACAGAGGCCACCTGCAACCTCTGGTCGGTCTATGTTCATGAGAAGGTGCTGAGGATTCCCAGGCATCAGGCCCATCAGGCTCTGAAGTCACAGTGTCGGGAGGAAAGGATAAGAGAGTATCTGAAGAACGGTGCTCAACTGAAGGACTGGAAGGTGTGGACTGCTCTGGAAACATACCTGCAGGTAACTGGGAAAAGCAGGTGTATTAATGCAGTCAGTGAAGCCTGTGTCAGAAGAATGTCTGCGGCTTGGTGACTGTAGCTGTCATGTCTTGTGTTTACTTACAGTCTGGGTTCATGCTGGGTCCAGAAAGCACCTGAGAGGTGTACAACAGAGTGTCTAATGCTGATGTCTCCTGAAAACCTTCCTTTGCCAGACTTGGGCTTAGCCGCTCAGGGAGAGGGCTTAGTGCAGTACACAAATCTTTTTCCCTGTGGCAGAAACAGGAACTGCTCCTTGTTACACAGCATGGGAAAAGGGTGAACAAACTTGGGCACAGCTCTTTAATCTGCTGCAGATTTCCTGTGGGACATTGACCTAGTTGGTAAAAAGACCCTTGAGATTGTAAAGTGTGTACAAGAGCCAGGATTCTAGCAGTACCCTGGTGAGTTACATGGCTAGGTTCTGCAGAACATAGCAAAGAGCAGGGTGTTCATATCAGCCGATGCTCTGAGTAGAGCCAGTGTAGTCCATGAAGTGACAAGGAAACAGGTTCTGTTTATCCTCCTGCACATGTAACTGGATCCCTCACTGTGGTCAGGACTCTAAATCAAGAAGTCTGTTCTAGATTGAAGTGCTATTATCTTGAGGAGCATAAAAGAGAGATTTTTCACTTTCCTCTTTCCCTTAATCCTCATAGGAACTGCCTAGTCCAGAGCTAGTCACAGCACCAGGAGTTTTCATATTAATAAGGAATTATCAAAGGTAGATAACCTGCCTGTTATACCTTTTCTGCCTAAGGTATAAGTGCTGAACTGCTTAGCTGTTTCAGCATGATGGAGAATTTGTGGAATGCAGTTTAGTGTCAATCTGTTTCGTATCAGAAAGTGAGATGTAAGTCATGGTGCTGTAAAGAACTATGGACATTGAGTAGACATTCTGCATCCTCTCATGCTGTTATTCCAAGTCAGCTCTTCATAGTAAGCTTATCTTGAGCAACAGTGTAGGTTGTTGCAACAGCAATAGCAATTTTTCTCTCTGAATCCCTTTTGTTCTTATTCCTAGCCAAAGCATGCCCTGCTCACAATCTCTCCTTCCTGTTTTCTGATTGCTCCTTGTTCTCCTGCGCTCCTTCTTTCCAGGTTTTCTGTTGGTGTCTTCTTTGATGCTTTTTCACTGCAGAAGAAGCGTTCCTCTGCTCAAAGCAGCAGCTTATATAATAGGTTGATGGCGTTTCTGCCTGCTCCCAGTGCATCTTTTGACTGTTTTAGGAGGCCATTGTAATGGGAAGGTGTATTTTTCTGTATCTAATGCTCTGAATTATCCTCTGAAGCCTGAAAGTTGGATGTGTGCATCTAACAATACATTTATTCTAAAAACCACTGCAGAAACCTATGGGATTTTCTATTGCTTACAACACAGGTATACTGCCAGTGAAATGAGAATTTCATTCTTTTTACAATGTATTCTTCTCCATCAGTTGCAGGAAGGGTTTGGTTGGGACCCCTTCATCAATCTCTTCTCTGACTACCAGAAAATGTCCACCATCCCAAAAGACAACCCTTCTAAGATGAACTTATGGGCACAAAAGTTTTCTCAGCAGGTGAATAAGAACTTGGCTCCATTTTTCACAGCCTGGGGATGGCCTATCAAGAAAGAGCTGTCTGTGGAACTGTCCCATCTACCCAGTTGGGAGCAGGACCCAATGAGATCCTATAGACCATGAAGGGAAAAGATGTAAATCTTGATTCTCATACTGGCTGTGTCCTATCTTTTTATCCTTGTGTATTGATAGCTCGTGACAGCATCCATGATAGCTCACTGGGTGCTTAGCTTTAGCTTCTTGCTGTCAATGGAGGTCAACCGCAACAGAAATTCAGCTGAATCTTGTGTGTGGATCAGCAATGTTCTAAGCCATTTTCTGAAGGGTTAAATGATGCACAAACTTTGTTCTGGGTTTTTCACCTCAGAAGGACTGTAATTCTGAGCAGATTTAGTTCTTGCAGAACCTGTCTCTTATGAAATGGAAGTTTTCTGGGTGGAGCAGTCACTGGAGCAGTCTCAAGGGCAATACCAATAGAACATTGGATCTTTAAAGTAAATAGTAGCCTTCACAATGTTGTATTTTTCAACTATAATCACAGTGACATGAGATTTTCACTGTTGTTCTGGTTACCCTAAAATCCCTAATTTAATTGCTCTAAGTATGCAGAACTTCCAGCCCTACTATCATGAAAGTGACCTTATAATGCTTATATACAGCTTATACAATACACTGAAATGCTGTAGATTTCTTCGACATTGTATGACTGTGGCCCAACATCCAGCTTCATGTGCATAAGTCAATCATAAGTTGCCATAGACTGACAGCAAGATACATGCTATGCAAGACAGAAGAGTGGAACCAAAGAGGGAATTTGATTATAGTCAGAGAGGAGGAAGACAACAGTTCATCAAAACAGAGGCCCAGCCTTTTCCAAGGAGCAACAGAACTTAATGTTTTTGCTACTTTTTTTCACAATTGCTTGGCTATTACAGGGACTGGCAAACATGTTAATGCTTAGCCTAATAGCATACCAGTCCCAACCCATTCCTTGTGTATCAGCAGTAAATAAAACAATCATGTGGACTCTCAGGTTGTGTATGTGGTCCAACTTCTTTGTCTCACAGTAAAAAAATAAAAACCCTAACTAGAAATGACCCAAGGATTTGTTACAGCACTTTTTCATTTTTGTTCTGGCCCAGATATGGTTGATTTACCTTTAATTCACTGGCCTAATGTTTTGATTTGTCTTTCAAACTTTGTTCAACTGTTATTCCTTCCTAGTATATGTTGTTCTTCCAGGAAAATAAATGTAGAGGCTAATCTTAGCTTAGTCAGTGTTTTAGTACTGTTTTGGTCCTGATTTGGAGATTCAGATGTAAATTCACATGGTACAAAGATTTAGACCTGACCCTATCTGCTGAAGCGGATTTTCATCCCTAATGAGTTTGCCAATGAAAGTTGAATTCATGTCCATTAACAAAATACTCAAAATATTATCAGATCTCTTACCAAAGTATGACAGGATTTAGGTTTTTTCTTTTTTTTTTCATGAATTGCACAACAAACCTGCAGATGTTCTGAGGTTTTCTGAGGGAGCTGCTTTACTTACCCTGTAATCATCACGCCAAACTACAGCATTGTTTTAAGCTTAAGTTGCCTTCTATAACAGTGAGCACCTCAGCACCATGCCCTCCAAACTAAATAGAACTCTGTGGAATATACAGACATAATTCTGGTAAATTATCCCTGCTCTTTTTTTGATAAAGAAGCAGTACAGCTTGGGCGGTATGACGTACTTTGTGAACTGGGTAGTTCACATTGCTTTGTGTCTGTGGACTTTCATGAAACCGTAATCCAAAAATCAACTGCTTAGGTGAGGCTCCTTTTCAGCGTCAAATGAGTTGCATTCTTAAGTATCTGATACTGTCTTTTTCCTATGCAATATTTGTCTACCTTCTCTTTTTGGACCTACATGAAAAAGGGTTAAAAGCAGGGGACATTACTGAAACCCTAGGCTACATAGATAAATCAACAGCTGTTACTTTCTGCATTTGCCTCTACAGTAAAAATTGGCCCTATTGTGTGACACTAGATTAACTCTTGCATGATAATAATTTAGATAGATAGTCTCTGTGCCTAGATGTAACTGAAAAAACAGCTGGGCATTAATTACATTGGAACGCCCCTGGTAAGGGAAAAAGTCACTGGCTGAGAGCACAAGTGCTTGCAAACTAGAAGCCTTGTCTTTGTCCAGCATGGCTAGTATTTGGGTTCAAAGGTCGTGGTGGAGTAAGAGCCCAGGAGGTCAGAAGCTGATAGAACACCAGATTGGGACTCTTCCATTGTGTGGTTAACATGTACGTCACCTACTTGCGTCTTTGGACCTATGTCTTCCTCTGGGTCCTAAGGAGGCTCAGTATTGCTGACTTTGAGCTCAATACACTGACCATCTTGATGATTTCTTTGGGAGCTGCTTGGAGTATTGAATTCAATGGGACTGGGTACATCACTGTTCTCCCGTAAATCAGTGGAGTCAAGATCCTCTACACAGATGAAACTGAAATGCAAACTGTGGCAACTCTGTGATCCATAGAATGCCGATGTGGGCACTGGTGTAGACAGACTATGACTATGCTACAGCCTTCGTATAGTAAGTTGACATGTGGTTGATTGAGATGACCATAAGCAATGGAAGGCACAAAGTTAAATAGGATGACCAAGAGGTATAACAGAGCAGTGCTGGGTGTCACCGACAGGTGCATGGTCTTTGGTATTGGTAAGGGATATGGCTTCACCAAATTGGCTGTGAATAAACCCAAGCAAAACAGAATATGGTCCAGCTCATGTAATGGCTGATAAATGTACCTAAAACATAAGAGAGCTGTGGTGCATGGCCTACTGCCGTTCCTTACATGGGAAAATATAGGACCAGGCACAGAATCAGCCAAAAGGTGTTGCTGCTTCTGCAGAATGTAAAAGGTATGTGTGGGGGGTACAGTTTCTAAACTTAGATCCAGCTCCTGGGAGTCCAAAAGCAATCCCATGACCAATGTGGGATTAAATAGTGTACTTGAATGCCTCATTGTTTGAAATAAACATACATGTGTGACTGCAAAAGAGAGGAAATTATCCCACAAAAATTTAAGTGTAGCCAAGGGATTAATCTTAAGCTACCTCATAAAGAAGCATTTTTCCAACACATGTGGTTTTGAAACGGAGCTCCCTGAAATTCCCACAGCCCATCAAATACAAGTAACAGGGTCCTGAGCTGCATGATGGATTAAACTGCTCCGTGGAGAACAGTGTGGAAATACAGAAGAACAGAGGAAGCAGCTTAGAGACTGACAGTGGAGACATATTTTTAGCTGTGCTTTAGGATGTCTCAGAATGCTCACAGAGGTTCAAGGATGTGTCAAACAGGAGCAGCTTCAGAGGTGAGGGACATGGCTGTCATTGGGCTGTGGAAGGTGACATGGGTAAGTCAGGGACCTGTGTGGTCTGAGAGGAAATGCTTGACCCCAGTAGCAGGAGACAGTGCCATCAGTGTTAAAAGCCTGGTGACAGGTGGCTTAAACCATAACAGATGACTTTGCATGACAGTGCAAATTCCAACTGAATCACCTTCCTACAGGTTCCTCCTGACTGAAGCATGTGGCTGGCTGTAACTTTGAGTCCAGAGATGGCCACATGATGTGTGGGCACTGTCTTGTACCCTCACAGGCTTCTTTGCTGCTTGTGACCAAGAGTGCGCTTCTCTGACAGGTAGCACTGGGTGTGGGGAGGGAGATGAGTCTCCACAGCAAGCTACCTCTGGTATTTATGGTCTCTACCATGCCCTTTTTCTCTCGTCCTTCTGGTCTGGATAGGTTGTCCAGCTTCCATGCCAACAGGCTGCTTATTCCAAGTCTGTTTACATTATTGAGGTGGGGCCTTTTTCATCCAGCAGGCACTAAAATGCATGTGGCCATAAAGATGCTCTGCCCTCAGTGGCCTGGTTTTTTGCCTATTCCTACTCTGAGAATGCAAGGCTCAGAACCTGCGGTTTGACCAGCACAAGCAGAAGAAAGGAAACAGCCTTAAATGGATGATCTCAGTGAGGAATTCGCAGAACTGGTTTGATATGATTCATGGCCTTTTGGTGCACTCAGGACCCTGACATTCAGCTGAAACTGACAGCAGAAAACTCTACATGGTGGCTATTTCGACCTGTTCTCAACTGCCAGAAAAAAGGGTTTAGATCAGCCAGTCACTTCACTGAGGTTATAGGAAGCATATATTAAATAGCTAGGGTTTCCATTCAATCCATCCTGGTGTAGGTGTGAATTAGCACACTATTTCTTCTCCCCATGGCTGTATTTCTAGGTCTCTGCCCTGTCCCTTGCTGATGCAGGAAGGTATCCAGTATGTCACAAGGGAGCTCTTTTTGTAGTCAGTTTCTTGCAGGTGCCTCACCACATAGGAGGGGAGCCAGAAGAGGAGAAACACCAAGTTTAACATGAAGTTCAGTCCTGATGGCTTTCACTTTTCTTCCTGGGACAATATTGATTCTCTTTCTGAAAGCCCTGCTGTCAGTGCCTATTATCCAAAAGTACTTGATAACCTCCTGGTGGAAGAAGATAATGAGGAGGGATGGGATCAAAAACACCAGTAAGAGGTGGATGATACTTGTAGACAAAGGAGATGTTTCTTATACTGACAGGTGGAATGGGACCTGATATTTTCCACAATATTAACATCATCACTCATGAGGATACTAGCAGCCAAACCCTGCTCCCATGTAATCGTTGGAACATTGGTGTGAATATCCCTGAATCTTTTTGTTTCTGGATGAAATTTTGGAAGGTAAGTAAGGTTTGCATTGGAAGGCAAAGGAAAAACAGGCACTGTGGAAGGTCTGGTACCAAGCTGGGTAAGCTTTGCTCCCCATGAATCCTCTTCAGTCCTCCCCCAGTACGGAACTTGTCATCAGGAGCTGGACACTGCATACCTGGAAGTATCATGAATATCAGTGCTGCACCTGAACATTCTTGCCTTGTTAGTTACCTGCCTCATCGAGGGCAGCATTTCCTTCATGTCCCCCTGAGAAGAAGGTGGCATGACAACCTCCCCTCAAATCCTGCAGAAGACTTGTTTATCAATGGCAGTTTTGATCCAGAAGGAAAACTCTGGGGGAGGAAGTAAATGTCCTCACACAGGTGAGAGCTGGGGGCATTTCCAGAAGTGGAGCCTTGGGTTGTGTTGGCTGAACTGTCACTAGGTGTGAGTGCAGTCAGCTGTTGAGGATCTCTCTGCTCTGGAGAAAGCCCAGGAAGAGGGTGGATGTGCTTACCTTAGCCAGGGACCTCCCAGGCAACGAGTCTGACTCTTCCCAGCTCAGCCTGTGGAGCCTAGCTGTGGAGCAGAGCCTGTCCTCCACCAACTGGCAGGTTCTGCAAGATTGCCCTGACCAACCAACACCAACACACAATATGGAACCTCTTCCCACAGCTGTGCCACAGGGAAGCCCTGGCCCAGCTCTGGGAAGGCACCCAGCTGCCTGTTCTTGGCATGGGTTTGCATGGCAGGTCATGTCAACAGTGCATGACATGGACTCATCTGGCAGGGCTTGCCAGATGTTTCCAACCCCTGTTCTGAAATGTGAATGGCTCACCTTATCGTGCCCCCTCCCTCCTTTTCCATTCAAGGAGGTTCCCTTCTTGGCTTGCCAGACTCTTGCAGTTGTTCCTCTCTTCCATCCCCTGTACAGGCATTGCCTTGCCCGGGCACTGGAAACACAAAGCCTTTATGGCTCTGAGGCTGGGTATTGAACCTCAGCAAACTGGTGAGGTTTGGTGAGCACAAGGCAAAAAACAAAGAAAAGAAGAGGCTGGAACTGGGCTGAAAGGAGATGATCAGTCTATTAGCTGCCAAACAGCTTGCTATTGGGTGGATTGAACTTGTGGGGCCTAAGGCTGCAGCAAGAACTAACTACTCATGTGAACACCTTTTCATTGCACAGAAGAAAAGATGAGTAGAATTGTTTTCTTTGTAATAAAGTCCTATAAGAATTCAGAGAAGCAAAATGAGATAGGATCTGCTCAGTGTCCTGTGACCTGATTGTAGAACCATTCAGTGCTGCACAGCTCGGGGTTCCCAGCATCAGAAGGGGCATAGGATTATCTATCTACACTATCCACTCTTTCTTTCTAGTGTTACCTCTGATAAATAGCATTTTAAATGGTACTTTACAGCCTGGATGCCTTTCTTACTGGGATCATAATGAAATAGCATTTCTTAGTGCAAAACACCAATATCAGCTGCACAACTAGTTGTTGACCCACAGGATCCATCCACTCCTCCTCAGGCCCGTCCCCGTCACTGGCAGGATTAAGGAGAACATCACTTGGGCTTTCATGCCCTTGCCCCTTGTCCCATAAGCCATAGTAGTCCTGTTTGATGTGCTTCAGGTCTCCTCCAGGAGTGTTGATTGTTGCCCCCATGGAAGAGCAGCAGGGAGTAATAGTCTGAGGGAAGGACAAGTATCAGTAATATTTCTGTATCATAAATACCACCCCTGGCAAACAGCAAACCTGCCTGAATGATGCATGAGGTTGGCAAATGGGGGCCTCAGTTCCCTACAGAAGAGAATTGTCCCCTGGGGCAGAGGTGGCCCCAACAAAGAGAGTATCTAAAGGCCACTTTTAAGAAACTTCCACTTAACAAGGGTCTGTCTAGGAGATCCAAAAGGGAACCACAGCAGCAGGTTAGTGCCTCAGCTCTGTACTGCTTTGGTAGATGGGCTTCAATAACTCAGCTGTTCTGGGACACCATTGGGATGACTGAAGTCTCCTGTGCTCTGCACCATGCCAGCACTGTTGCACCTGCATGGAGCCAGCAGTGTTCTACCACCACTCAACCCACATGCCCAGCAGAAATATGGGATGTTCTCCTGCTCATAGGGCTTTGCCAGAAGAAATATAAATGGCAATGGTGGCTCTGTGGTTGCCTTGCTACGTATCAGTTGCAGGAGAGCTAGAACTACACAGACTGCCTTGTAGTGATACATACTGCCTGCTTCCTGCCAGAAGTGCCTGAACTTCTAGCCTAGTCCACAGGCATGGGTAGGCATGTTGACAGAACAGGGTTGCACTTGCAGTACATGCATTGGTTTGGCACAGACAAGAGCTTCCCTCATGGAATTATGTTTGTTTTCTGTAGAGTACTTGAATGCTTGTGTAGACAGTACAGGTGCTTGTTCTCATGTGGATACAAGTCATCAATAACTCCATTGTTTGGAACTACCAAGAGCAGGGTTGATACACTCCCATTAAGAGTGCAATAGCATCTGGTACAGTTTTCATCCACTGCTTACATTTGCTTTAATAACTCTTTGGTGACATCAGTAGCTGTGGAGGGATGGCCAGAAACCTCAGCAAAACCAACAGTGCTCTAGAAACAGGAAGCCACCACTTGCTTTTCAGAGCTACGAAACAGCCTCTCAGTTTTGGAATGACTCATAATGCTTTGGCTCTGCAGTGTAGCCATATTATACGGCTTCCACATCAGCCATTTTTCAGGCAGGAGGAAATGATGACATTGATCTGTCCCTCAGCACACTCATCCCAACCTCACCCACTACCCTCGGTTTTCCTTCCTTCTCTGACTATGTGAACAGTGGTGTGCAGTAGAATGGCTTCCCAACACCCAGCACAGAAAGAAAGGAAGATGAACCAGCAAGGGTCCTCTTGAGGGAGATGACCCATGGCACTTTGCATGTAGCATTGACAGAGCACACAGGGCTATCTACAGAAGTGAACAAAAAAGGGTTTTTTCTCCTTTTATTTTTCTTCTTCTTGTCCTTTTCTATATCTTCTGAATGGATATCAAACTGCAGAGAGCAGAAAGTGTTGCTGCATTAACTTAGCATGGAAGACTGTGCAAGACTGCCCACAGCAAGTGTGCTGAGATGTTTTCTGAAAGTAGAATGCAGTCCTGTCTCTTTCACACTTTTGCTTTTCTTTCTTTCCCTGGTAATGCCTGACACTTCTTTCCATCTTATGCTGATGATGCCATCAATAGATGTAGTGCTTGCCAGCAGCAGAAAGGGAAACAACTTCCCTTTCTACCTGGGCTGGTATCTGAGCAGATGGGCAAAACCAACAGGGCATGGCACCACTTACTCCATAACAAGATTCCCACTGGGGAATTTCTAAGGCTTGAAGAGCAAGATTGAGGGAGTGGGGAGAACTGGCTGTGCTTTCCCCTGCAAAAAAAGAGGCAATATGCAGAGAAATGAGGTATATTCATAGGATGTCTTTCCAATATGGCTCTTCTGATGTTTTCCCAACTTGAGGAAAACCAGAAGCTAGCTCAAGTTTGAACCACCACAGTTTTACTTGTTTTTTTTCTGCAGTCAGACCATGTTTTCAGTATAAGTGTCCTCAGAAGTGAATGCCACTATGGCTCCTTTCCTATCCTCAGACCTGAGCTCCTTTCCAAAGGGAAAACTAATGTGCCAAGGAGTGGTGAGCATCTAGGTCTTGTTCAAACAGGCGGTTGGGATGTGGCCAGGGTGTCCACCTGAAAACAAGGACTGCAGATGTTATCATGAAGTATGATAATCTGATAAACTTTTTGTCCTTTCCAGCCAACCTCGTGGCTCAATGCAGGGATTGCCCTGAAGCTTTCTGAAAGCGCTATACCTGACATACAGTCTTGTATTGTCTTGCTGTGACACATGCAGCATCCTGAATCCAGACAAACTTGAGACTTAAGGCCTGTTTCTCATAAGCTGAAGAAAGGTACATCTGTCAGATAAATCCATAGAAGAGGAAGGTTCTTGCTTTATTCTATATCTGTGCAAACATGTACTGTGTGTGGAATCTATCCCTGCCTAAAACCTGAGTGCTACTATTGGGATGGACTAGTCAAGGGCATTGGCTTTGCTCACAGGCAGGACTGAAACTCTTACCCAGAGTTTCACCACCTATCCTTCAACAGTGGACACACAAAGAAGGGACATGCATTTACTGTATTTTACAACTAATATAAAAGAATGGGTTCAGACTCTGTGTGTGCATGTGTCTGCATACAGGAACATACAGGAACTGGAGGAACTTCCCTTCAGTGATTCTGCAGGAAAACCCAGTATCATCTCCCAAGATCCCCCTTTTGTCAGGACATCTCAGGAACAACTGTGTTCCAAATCTGGGACACAGAGACTGTTTCTAGCTAGTTACATCTTCTTGCAAACCAGTCTTACGGTGTGAGCTTTGCTCTGCCCTCCCAGGAGCTAGAACTGCAGCTGCCTCTAAGATTTTCTGTAGTACATTAGTCACTGTGTGTCTTATCTAACCCTTCTTCCTCATATCTAATCTATCCTCATATCTTCCTCTTATCTAATCTTCTTCCTCAAAACCCTGCTGCTGTGGTTTCCATAAATGAGCTGGGTGAAACTGAAAAGAGAAGTCCATTGCAATGTTTTTGTTTGCTGCCATGTTGGACAGGACAACAAAGTTTGCTCCATTGTGAAAAGATCCCAGCAACTTTAGAAAATAGGAGGCCAAGACCTTGTAAAAGCCAAGCTTTTGGTGCCATGGCTAAAACAGAAACCTGGCAAATCACTTCTTACGAAAATGACACAAATTTGTGCTCAGATTTTAGATGAATTAAAAAAAAAATCATAACTGCCTTTTCAGGTTGTATTTTTAGTCACAAACTGGAAACTCCCAGCTCCTCAAGAAGCATGGATATCATTGATGAAAAGGAAGAATATACAGACAGAGGTGTGGGGCATTTGAGGGAAGCAGAGCACTTGCTCAAGACTTCTGTGTGTTTGGTTTACAGTGATGCCTCTTATAGGGGTCTTCTACCTTTTTCTCACATTATAAATCCCTCCTGGGGAAACTCTGGCTTTTATCCTTCATGTGATATTTGATTGCTTCCTCTCCCTTTCATTGTCAAGCTTACTCCTGCCACATCTCAGTAAGATCTCCAAAATCCATCTCCTTTCTGCTGTAAGCTGAGCAAAAAGTTGTTAGCACTGACTACTGCACAGCCTGCTCTGTTGCTTCCCTGATTCTCCGCAAGTGTTCAGAGCCTTTCTCAGATGCTCTGCAGATGAACACTGGATTTTTCCTGCTCCTGGCCACTCCAGCACACTCACAGTAATATTCTCACCTGGAGGTACCAAACATACTGAAAAGTTAGAACCCTCATGCAGGGAGGAGGCTAGGTTTGTAGAGTGATGGGACTTGTCAGAAGACAGCCTCATGCATTGAACGGATTTAACATTTACTGCTATGGGGTTTTTAACTTATCAACACAGAACCTGCTGAAGGAAGAAGGAAACATTAAAAGTGAACCATGAATAACTGATCCCTTCAGGGGTGGGCCAGGGATGCTCCACTGCATGCTCTTCTTTCAAATTCTGCTCCAGTGACTCTTAGGACCAGTATCCTTCCATGGAACAGAGAGGGCCTTTTCCACATCATTGACTGGACAAGGAGTCAAGGAAAGTACTGGAGGATCAGGGCACTCATCTGTGAAGGAGGACAGTGAAAAGGGGCACAGTAGGTCCTTAACATCAGCCTGAGCATTTTCATCCAGGACTGATCTCCATCTTGGAAAGAGATGCAGGGGCACAGGCTGGGAACTGATGTCCTTCAGATCTGAGATTCTGTAGCAGCCTTGCTCACCCTGCATGGCAAGACAAAGCATTTGTGTGAGCTCAGGCCAGCTTTTCATCAGGTATTGTGTGAGCTGCCCTTTCTCACCGGTGCTCCTTCAGCTCCTTCAACCAAAGTGGAGTTTCCTTCCTCAGACAGATTTGACTGGCAGTTCACAAATTCGATAGCAACTTGTGAAGCACAGGACGTTATTCCAGTTACTGTAAGTGTTGGGGTCTCTCTTTCCCTTGACGTGAATTGCAGCACATTTTTCTGCAAAGAGTAAATTGGGTTCCCCAGGTTTCCAGAACCTGTAAAAGAAAGTTCCTCTATTGGGAATGTATTTGCATGCCTGACGGCGGGGTTGAGGTCACCCCAAACAGTTGTGGAAGAGAAAGGGGAAGTTTACTGTAAGAGAGATCAGGAGTCATAGTTTTGACTGGAAAAGTAGTTGTTTTCTGACTTACAATGCAGTTGGAGACAGAAATCCCCCTCTGGCACATACCTGCATTACACAGTGTGTTGGCCACTTAGACTGAGGGCTGTGAACTACATACAGGAACCTTCCTCACATCCCCAGGATACTCACGTGGTTGTCATATCGTATGGAGTCTGATCCACCCACTGCCATTGCCCGGTTTTGTAAGCAGTTAAGCCTATGTAGTATTTTGTTTCATAGGCATTAGAAAATACTCCTTTTGCCAAGTTGAAGAGGAAATCCTGGAAATGAGGGAGAGTGCAATGTCCATGAGATACAGGAGTAAGCAGAGGGAGGTGGCAGGAGTCCCTGTGGAGTGGGGCTGGTGGCAGAAGGGAGCCGCTGCTGAAGGGATGCACAAAGGACATCCGTCCCCCCTCCCTTGCAGGACAAAGAGGGACTGAGTCCCCTCCCGTGCTGGCACTGGGGCTCTGGCTGCTGTGCCCCCCTCTCAGCCCTGCACATACCTGCTCTGCTTTGCTGTTGATCACCGCCAGGTGAGAGCCCATCCCAGTGCAGTTCTGCTCGCTATCGGCCCAGGACATCGCATCACCTGAGAGGTAGTAGCAGCTTCCTTGGAAGCGTTTCCAGCCCTTCGGGCAGCATGCCCAGCCCTCCTCTGTGGGGGGAAAATCCTGCTTTCAAACAAGACCTGCTGTCCTTCAGCTCCATGAGCTCAATGAAAGGTCCCAGATGTTGGGAGAGGGGTTTGAACCACACCTTTAGTCTGGACAGAGGGTAAACGCTCTCTTCCATGCTCCACGTGTAAAGCTGTAAACAGCCTGACAGGTTTCTGCCTCAAGGCCCCTGCCTGAAGCTTCTTTCCCTCTCTCTATCTGTTCTGCAGTGTCCATGCAACCTCTTATTGGTGAGAGACACAGTTTCTGCCTTGCCATTCTTGAGGAAGCAAGATGAGAAGTACTCGGCTCATGTTCCTCTGGGAACACTTCCATCAGAGAAGTGTCCAAGTGTTTAGCTCTCAACTCATGCAGACTGACAGACATGTACAATGAACTGCTCTGACAGCCTTGCTGCCACCACAGGCAGTTCCTTAGACTAGCCAGGCTTTCCTAGAGATCTGCCTTATAGCCAGAAAGCTACATCATGGATCAGAAATACACAGATATGTTCTCTCAAATCATGAGGCTACATGAGAACAGACCCCAAACTGAGTTGGGGGAATTTGCACTGCAGGAATTCAAGCACTTGCCATTGTTGTCATTTCATGTGTGATTGCAGCCCAGCTCTCCATTACTCTAACTTCATAGAACCACAGAATCATAGAATAGTTAGGGTTGGAAAGGACCTTAACATCATATAGTTCCAACCCTAACTATTCCAACCCTAACCTGCATAACAACATCCTCTTATCCCTGCTACCTCTGTCCCTCACACTGAACATGATGCTTGTGTGAACAGGCAGTGAGCCAGCACAGGGAGAGGAGATGGATTGAATCAGCCCTTACAAAGGGATGGAGCACTTCCAGCTAGATTAGTGAACTGGAATAGCAGTTGAGGAGTTGTGTGAGGGCCAGTGAGAGGAGAAGAGTAGGAAGAATAGCCAGAAGTAAGTCTGGAAGAAGCCACACTCTTCCACTGGTCCAGAACAGGTTTCTACAGCATCCTAAGAAAACTGGCAATACAGCATTGTCTTTCCTCAATTCTCAAGCTACCTTCTTTACAACAGTCCAGCTCTGCCTGACAATCACATTCCCAAACTCAAAGGCTAACTGAAACCAGAGTAAAGTTTTGTGAGTTTCTTAGAGTTGCTTAGGAAGCTCTTAGCATCACTCACCTGTGCCTCCAGATATGCTGGGGATGCAGCGCCACTCTGTAGCGTTCTGGACCAGAGTCATGTACTGGCCATAGTCTCCATGAAGGAAAACAACTGGGAAAAGAAGAAAGAGAAAGAAAGTGATACTGTCATCTTTTTGTCCTCATCCATGAATAACCTGTCCTATCCTCCGCCTTCTGGCTGTACCACGGAGACTCTCTGTTAACAGCCTCAAAAATGGGTATTGAGTGAGATGAGAAAAGCGGATGAGAAAGGAGACGAGAAACAGCAGGCCGTTTCTCCCTCTAGTGGTCACCCCTTCATTTGAGCAGTCGCCGACTGGGTGAGCCGCTCTCGCCTCTGCTGGCTGAGAGACTCAAATTTTCCCAGCTGACAAAATCAGCTTAGACATCCTTTGAGGATGAGGCCATGAAAGGGTCAAAGAAGTCATGGGATAAACTTAATAATGGTGGAATATTAATACAAATTCCCTGGTAAATCTTCCCAGGCACTGCAGCGTTAGAGCACCACTTTTACCCTCATCAAGAAGGCCTTAACACTGTTCAGCATTAACGCCTCACCTTAGGGAGTTAAGAAAAACCACAGAAGAGTCATCACAGAGCAGTGTGAAACTCCAGGACTGTGCAAGCAAAGGATTTCCCTTGTGGCCCGTCAGGCAGTGTGGCTGGAGCATTTTGATGGATTCCCCCCCACCCTGCTAAAATATGGGCAGCCTGGTACCAGTATTTCCCAGAATATCACACTGGCTCCTTGGTTTCAATATTGTCACAAGGAGCTCTGAGAGAGAGAACAGCTCGGGAGAACCAGCATCCAAGAGCTGGCCTTCAGGGAACCTGCTCAGATGCCCCCTGACACTAAAGAGACTTCTCAGCTCTTGGTGAGAGCTGGTTTTGTCCAGGACTGGCTTTACTAAGGCAGGAGGGAAAGTGAGAGGAGCAGTGGGAAGGCCCTGCCAGGGAACAAACCTGAACTGTTGAAGGGACCCTGCTCCCTGAGTAAGAGGACAGAGGTGGGAGGGGGGCAGCAGAACAGGCTGCTTTGGCAAAGGGCATAAATGCCCGCAGGCAGAAAGGCTAGGGTATTGGTTTTCCAACTGACAAAAGGCAGTCAACTGCCTCCTTCATCCCAGGGGAATTAACAGGGCCTGGAACCCACCAAGGCAGATGGTTACAATGGCGGTTTTGATGGCAAGGCCAGAAGCAATGAAGACCCAGGGGTTCAGCCGGGAGCAGTGTCTCTCTTCTGCTGAGGCTGAAAAACACAAGGTGTGAATGGGAATCCCCCAGCCCAGAGGCGGGGGCACGATAACCCAGTTGGCTCCATATCCCAACAACCTGCTGGGGAGAACACATATGATGCAAACAGGTCCTGTTGCCCATCATTAGCAGTGGGTCAGACCCACAGAGTAGGGCAACACAGGGACTGCCCTGAAGCTGCTTTTATTCCCCTGTTTATCACCAGTCCCACCTGTACTTTTCCCAAACTGCACTCCTCTTTTCTTGTGTCCTGTCACATTTCCTTTTTCTTCAACACATCTTCCTTGTTGCCCTCATTACTTCTCTCTTGCACTGGATGCTCTTTTTATTCCTCCCTCTTCTTCATCTCTCTTTAGAGCTTCTCAGCCATCTTTATTTTGGCTCTATCCCCAAGGCCTTTTACATAATAGTATATATTCACTCGAAGGAGTGACTGTCCAGCTCAGCATTTGCAGAGGCAGACACACAGAAGAGATTGTTTCCACAGGGAAAACAGCCACTTTGAAGCTCCTGGGAAAGCCCTCACTTGGTTCTTAGAGACACCAGAGATGGGAGTAGTGACTTGTACCTAGCTTGATGCAGAAAGTTCTACCTGGATAATGATAATACGATAGCACTCTTCAGTCCCATCATTTGCAGATAAAAGCACTGAAGAGGATGGCAGACCATAGTCTGCCTGGACTTTCATTCCCCCTGGCTCTGGGAAAAAGGTCATTGCTCCCAGCCTGGGCACTCCCCAGTTCCCTCATCTGTTGCTCTGAGGCCAGCCACTGTACCAAGCCCATTATCTATCCCAGCTTTTTGTCTCCCACCTCTTCCATCCACAGCAGGACAGAAAGGAAGGCTTTGTGGTTACCTGCAGTTCCAGGACTGACTCTCCCGTGGTGATTCATTATCTCTACCATGGTATCACTCTTCCTCAAGAGTCCACATTACCAGTGTGGCCACAAATCCGACCTTCCTCCTGCACAGAAGACTGCACTAGGGTAGTTCACACACTGGTGAAGAACCTTCACAGCCTCTAATCCGGTACGCAGAAAAAGCTGTAGCCTGGGTGTTCCCCACAGCACATGGAGATGGGGGAATTGTCGTAGTTTCTCTGCCAGGATGTTTCACAAGGTGCTCCTTGCAACACAGAAGCTTACAGAAGGAAATGAAAACAGATGAAGGGTAGTACCAACCCGGCTCAAACGACCGCCTTTTGCACATACTGAAGCCATTTCATAGGACATGCTACTGGACTTACACCTTCGTTATTTATTCTTTCCTGGCAAGCGAATATGTGTGTGAAAACACCTATGCTGCTGGCATTCGGTTGCAAGGAGCTAAACCGACTCACAATGTCCTGCAAAAGGGAATCAAAACATGGTAAGAAAACATATCTGTGACTCAGTTTGGGCAAGTCCCTATGTGAAGCCTGAGCCCAGTTACCCAGAGCACAACGAAGAACTTGACAACACTGTTGTTAACTAATTCCTTGGGAAAAGAGGATAGAGCTTTGAGTGGAGGCATTGCATATGACCTGTCACCACGGAGCTGGAGGTCAGAAAGGATCACCAGGTGGTGTCAGAATCCCTGTGCATTACAGATCTCGAAGTTTTACTTGGTCACAACAACAAAAGGCACAGCCATAGCTGGTGGTTCTAGCACTGCTCAAGGCAACTTGATTCAAAACCTTGCATGTTTTGTCCCTAAGAATACCCATAAGGATAAAGAATCCCTACTGGATCTCATTGTACTCTGAATGGACTCAGGTAGGTAGACAGCCTTTGCTCTTCCATGCTCCATCAGCACCTTCTCCCTGTGAAAGTCATGAATGGATGCACTGAGGAAGGAATGGATGGAATAGCACAAGTGTATCAGTTGAAGTCTCAAAAGAGCAGGACACAAAACCAGCTGCAAATGAGAACAACCCTAAATTGTGTGTAGAAGATACCCTCCGAGTATGTTTGTTCATGCACAGCAGGCTGCGAGCAGGATCAAACCATCCAACAGCTATGTTACACTGGAAAGATGGTCCATACATGCACTTGCTGGTACTGTCATAGAAACTATAAGCTGCTAGAAGGCATAAGCTACTGGATTCACAGCGCAGCGAGATCCTCACATGACATATTTAAAAGTTCCCAGCCATCATGCTGGAGAACAGCTCTGAAATGTACCACAGATGTTAAAAAACGGGAACGCATTTGGTTCGGAGAAAACTCCAGGCACAAACTTGCCAACAAAGTTTTCAAGCTGACAAGCAGGTATTCTTTATTGCGGCGCCGGGAGACACGGGGGATAGCTCCGCCTAACATGTGTCCCCGTATTGCTACGCAAGCCATCCTTATATAGTCCCTGGGCATGCATACATATTCATGAGGCTATGTATGGATTACATCATTTTCCAGAGAGTTCCCCGCATGCGTACAGAATTGTGCTGGTGGTCTCCGAGGGTCGTTTACTTCTTCCAACAATCTTCATCACTTCTGGCAGCCTTTGGAGCACGCGCAGTAGATGCTCATACCAGTTTAATTGGTTCGTTAGCACCAGAGACATAATAATCCTCCTATCCTCCTACTTATCAGTTAGTTTAACTGTAGCCCATCCTGAACACCTGCAGTTCCCAGATCCTCCTTATCCCTGTGTCCTGTTCTTCTAGACTGTTTTTCTTAAAACTATGTCAACTATAATGATTTATCTTGTGAGAATTCTCAGTATGTTCTCTACCTGTACTCTATTTTTTTCTCTATGTATCCTGCACCTCAGTAATTTTCCATTGCTACTGTTACAAAGCCATCAAACTTAACATTACTTAAAATGAATTCTAAAGGTTTCTATATTCCATTTTGTGATTTTGTGCCCCTTTGTCTCAATTTTATTTGCCATTGCTTTAAAATACACTTGATTTTGTGCATACAGGCAGGGAGCTGACTTTGACTGATCAGTAAGGTAGGTGAAGAGGGTGTAAAACTGTCAGAAGGAAAATGTGCTTAGTTCATGTGGTTTAAATCTAGTCAGGATGGATCTAAGCAGTTTACCAATTAATTCATCACATGTAATTAACTGGCAAACTGTTACCTGTATATTCAGGATCAGCATCAGCAACCCAGATAAAGCACAATACCAGACACAAAATGTCAACAAACAGATACAAATTTCTAAATGTCTTTAAGTAACTAATCCCCCAAAGCTCTAAACCCCACATACACACACATTCTCATGATTACTTGTGCAACTTCCCACGTTCCTCTTTTCTAAGAGCAGTGATTTCCCTGTTCTTACGCACTTCCTACTGGAGGTGTAGGGTACATGTGTATCCATGCCACTTCCTACAGCCACTACCCACAGGCGAGTGAGAAAGCACAAGGTCACATACACATACTGAAGTTGTGGGTCTGTATATATTGCACCCTTACTGCCAGGAATGCAGGCTGCCCACTGTATTCAACAGGGAGGATGCTCTGCCATAGACAGGCTGCAGGGTGACTGCCAAACCAGATGTTGACTGTCGCTTCCTTCCTGCTTCTTTCTCTTTGCTAAAAATGTTCTTGCTTCTTCTAAACCTTGTTTTTGGACCAATTATTGTCTCTCTTAAAAGACTTTTCCTAATTCCATGGCAAATGAGTTTGGGGCAAATGCCCTCTCAGATAGTTTCTGGTATTCAATTCACACACTTGTTTACACTAACATTCCTGTTTTAGCAGTCATTGCTCTCCAGCCCATTTGACAAAGATGAAGGAATGTGCAATGAATTCACATGAATTCACTCTGGTGTTTGCACAGGGTCTAAAGCAGAGAGAAAGCAAATGACTTTCTTTTCAGCATCACAAACCAAGCTACTGCACCCAGGAAATCAACAGCTGAGCTCACAATGCTCAGATGACAAATAGCTCTGTCCCACTCAGGGACAGAGTCACAAAGTGGTGACAGTAGCGAAACTCTGCGCTGGACTGCACAGAAACTCCTTAATAGTCCTGGTGCCAGGCAGCTAGGACCAGTGATGGGAGATTTTATCTTCTCAGTGGGAAGCTCTGGAATCGTTGCAAATACCTTTTATTTCCAAAATGGCAGGAACCTATTTATCTTTCCTGCTTCATAAACATGAGCAGCATGCTTGAGGAGAGCATGCATCAGTGACCTCAGTATTCCTGTGGGTCTTTCCACAGTTCTGTAAGTAAAGATTCTCAGCTGTTTTCTATCTGCTCCAGTCATGAAGAGCTTCATGAGTGACCCTTGGTTATTTCACTTCACAGATATACATGTCAGATCAGCATGCTGTGGCAACAGGGTGACACCTTGCAGTACAGAACTGTAGGGATTCCTGCCCCTGCGCCACTGAAGACAGTGGTACTTGGTTATAACAAGTGCACTCCTAGAAGAGGCACTAGAGAACCTTCAATCTACTTTCACACCCCCTTGCAATATAGACATAAGTTAACAAGCACAACATGGACATAGAGAAGATCAATGGAACATGAACTAGGGGAAATACATCAGGCACCTTTCCTGGGTGGATAAAACACCACATGGGGAGCGCAGGGAACAGAGTGGGTGAACAGAGTGTGGTGTGGCAGCTTGTGCAGCGGTTTATATGGGCAGCAAGCTTCAGAGGTGAGCTCAGCCAGTGGGCATAGAGAAGGTGCTCTAGGACGGCATCCTCTCAGCAGAAGGCAAAAAGACAAAGTTCTCTCAGAAAGGATGTGGCAACCCAGACAGAGGTCCCTTATAAACACGTAGCTGCCCGGGCATCTGGCTGTTGTGAGTGCCAGAGCCTGTTGGCGATGTTAGATGGGGGCTGTCTAAGATGTGACCAGGTTGATGCTTTGCTCTGCATGGTGGCAGAGCCATCAGAAGAGGTGGAATGACCAAGGGAATCTGAGGAGGAGATTCGCTGATGGAGCCGTACTTGAGAGAAGCAAGCCAGCCACATGAGCCAAAAGAAATTAAGGATCCATTACCATCTTGTCACCAGCGACCTAAGAGACAGGGGAGCTTGGAAGCAGATTACTCTTTAGAGTACATGGCATATTTATTACCCCCCATCTTGTCACCTTCCCAAGTACCCCTCCGCAACAGATTTGAGGCCCTGGTACTTGAGGATCAGGAAAACGAGGAATATGACAAAGTAGATAAGGGATCATCCAAGTTAGAGGAGTCGCCATGGGTGAGTCAGACCTTGTGTCAGGACCAAATGTGTCAGGGACAATAGATAGTGGTCCGTGGTGAAACACACAAAGATAGAAGAGTAATGTTTGTCCGCTTTGGCTCCTCCCTGGAGAGTCCTGCTTTGGCTGCTCCCCAGAAAAGCCCCAACCCTTGGAGACCTTTCTAGATACTGCTGGCCACTTCTTCCGACACAGGCTGGCCCCCTGCTAATGTCAGAATGAGTGGGCATTTTTGTCAGTATAAAAGCCCAAGCCTCATGCAGTGCAGGGAGGCAGACCTTCGGACCACCCAGGGCAACATTGCCTCCACGGGGACACCCGCTAAGGTTGAGCCTGCCACCTTGAACTGGGATGATGATCCTCAGAGCTGGTTTCCTGATCGTCATCACAGGGTCCTTGGGGTTGGTGAGATAACCAAACATCACAAGTATCTTTCACTGCATCTGTTAGTATCTCTATATTTTCCCATGTTAGTTCTCTATCGTGTCTTGTTTCTCTCACCCGGAACCCTCAAACTCTGGAACACCAAATCTACTAGGAAAAAAGAGTGGTTGTGATTGGTGACTCCATCCTGAGAGGAACAGGGGGCCGATATGTCAACCCAACCCGACTTGACTCACAGGGAAGTCTGCTGCCTCCATGGGGCCAGGCTCAGTGACGTTACCAGAGAACTCTGTCATCTGGTATGGATTAATGACTAACCTCTGCAGTTGGAGAGGTCTGTACTGTATATGTGTAAACATATATTTTTTTTCTGCTAGCAGGCATTCATCCAGAATCAGGCTGCTCGTGCTGTTTGTGTTTGTGTCAGTGCTTTCTGTCTGTGCTGACCTCTGTGGTTGCTTGTATGCGTACTTCCTTTTTCTTCCATATGTATCTATATATGTACATATTGTACATACATGCTCAGTCTCACTACCATCTGGAGCTGGGGACACAGAGCTGCAGCAGCCTTGCCTCTGCTGAGCTATGGGATTCAGCAGCTCCTGCCACCACCCACAGCCATTCATAGAACTACTCCCATTAGTAAGCTTAGGAAGCCAAATCTGATCACCTTGCCTCCATTACAAGTTCTCCCCTCTCTTTTGGGCACAGAGGGAGGATTCACTTTTATAGGTAGGACAGAGTCGCACAGCCAGATTCCCACCAAGGCTTTGTGAGGAGCTGGCACCGGTTAGTTGGGAAAGGTTAGGCAGGTGATGTTTCCTAAGGCAAACAGAAGTGGGGCCCAGGGCCCAGGAAGTGGTAATGGGTGGAGAAAAGGTGGGATCCATGGTGGCATATGGTCTGCAGTAGGACATTGTCCCAGGTTCAGCAGTAGCAGTCATTTTTCTCCTTCTTAGCTAGTGCAGTGCTGTGTTTCTGACTTTCAGCCTGGGAACAGCACTGATAACACCGATGTTTTTAGCTGCTGCTCAGTAATGTTTACTCTGACCAAGGACTTTGTGAGTCTCCTGCTCTGCCAGGGAGGAGGGGAAGCTGGGAGGAAGCAGAGATAGGACGCCTGACCCAAAGTAGCCAAAGAGGTATTCCATACCAGAGCACATCATGCCCACTATATAACCTGGGGGCAGTTACCCGGAAGGGCTAGATTGCTGCTTGGGTCAGGCTGGGTATCGGTTGGAGGGTGGTGAGCAGTTGTATTCTCTTCCCTTGTTATTTCCATTATCATTATGATTATCGGTGTTAGCAGCAGTAGTTTGTGTTATACCTTAGTTACTGGGCTGTTCTTATCTCAATCCGTGGGAGTTACATTCTTCCGATTCTCCTCCCCATCCCTCAGGGAGCAGTGGGAGGAAGGAGGCAGAGTGAGTGAGTGGCTGCGTGGCTCTGGGTTGCTGGCTGGGCTTAAACCACAACAGACATGAAGGCGATTCAATAGGCAACACACTTTTGGAAGGGACCTTATGTGCAGCAGCCCTGCCCTTTCCTGCCTCTTCTGCAGCATGGTCTGGCCTGGACAGGTAGGTCCTTACAGGGACCACTGGGCTTTAGCTTCCCAGGGGGGCTGGTGCATCGGGTAAGCTTGGGATCAGCTCCAAGCTGGGAAGAGAGACTTATTCCTCGAGGTGACACTGAAGGCCCCAGTCATTTTACTGCTGGGGACAGCTCCTCACACTTGGTTGGAGAATGGCCTGACCTTGGTGAGACTCCTGGCACAAGCTCCTGTTACTTTCTGGAGCAAGACTTTCCACCATGGAAACAAATCATAGAATCATACAATGGTTTAGGTTGGAAGGGACCTTAAAGTTCAACCCCAATATTCATAATACCCCTAGAACTGGTTTCCTGTAGCCAGTCCCCTCCATAGCTTTGGCTGTTTGCAATGGAACTGTGTAGCCACGTTCCCTCTGAGGGGTTTACTCTCATTGGGTGGGTGCAACTTCTGCTGCAGTAGTTGCATAAGGCTGTATCCTGTCACAGCAACATCTTTTGATTCTGGTCCTGCCCAAACAAAACCCCTACATACTGTGGGAGGAGATAAGGTCCCCATAGTGCTTATAAGGAAGTGGCTGGGGAAGGTGGTGTGGATTGCTCCTCCCATGGGAGTACATCTAGAGGAGGGTTGCAAAGATTGTCAGTGTTGGAGCACCTCTCCCGTGAAGAGAGGCTGAGAGAGTTGGAGTTGTTCTGCCTGGAGAAGAGAAGGTTCCATGAAGACCTTGTAGCAGCCTTCCAGTAGCTAAAGGAGCCTACAAGAAATCTGGAGGGGGACTTTTTATAGGGCATGTGGGGACAGGACAAGGTGGACTTGCTTTATGCTGAAAAAGGGGGGGCTTAGATCAGATGTTAGGAAGAAATTCTTCCCTGTGAGGGTGGTGAGGCACTGGCACAGGTTGCCCAGAGAAGCTGTGGCTTCCCAATCCGCCACAGTGTTCAAGGCCAGGCTGGACTGTAGTGACAGAACAAGTGGGAATGGGTTTAAGATAAAAGGGGAGATTTTAGATATTAAGAAGAAATTCTTCATTGTGAGGGTGGGGTGATGCTGGAACAGGTTGCCCAGAGAAGTTGCCCTGGCAGTGTTCAAGGCCAGGTTGGACGGGGCTTGGAGCAACCTGGTCTAGTGGAAGGTGTCCCTGCCTGTGGAAGGGGGTTGGAACTGGGTGAGATTTAAGGTCCCTTCCAACCCAAACCATCCTGTGATTCTATGATTACACAAAACACCTGCAGCTTAGTGAGGGAAAGAGAAAGATACACACTGCACAGAGCCTTTTTCATTGGTCTGATACTGTATTTTCTCTTGCATAAGAATTCAGTAATTGTTCAGCAAAACCAGTGCACCTGGAGGTCATTCTCTGTGTGACTCAACAAAACGCAGGCACCTCTGCCCAAGGAGACAAAGGAAATTGCAGGTCTGAACATCTGTTTTACGTTCCTGTGTCTTTTTCCTGGAGAACTCAATCTCTTTTCAGCCAGTGGCTGCTGGACCCATCCAGAGAGAAGAGGACATAAAAGCCCAGGACCTGCTCTGATGACCCTGAGCCTTCATGTATTCCCTGAGCCATTGTATGCACTGGGGATGCTGGACACAGGGTAATATCACTTCCAGTCACACCATCCCACCCAACACAGCGAAGATGAAGGCTCCAGAGTTCCCCACCCCTCCCAACACAGCCCTGTTACCAGCTCATTGCTCATCTCCCAGTTTTACTCAGGATCAGGTTATCTCCATCACACAATTATTGCTGCAGCTTCACATATTCTATTATGACTGTTACATTGGACATCATTCCAGTTGTTGAGTGCTCCCGAAGTCCGATGGATTACAGCGCACTTCTCATAATCTGGATTACTTGGTTCACCTTCGCGCCAGAACCTGAGATAGAGACAGGCATGTTACTCCCCAGCATACCCTGTAGAGCGCTGCTGGAAAAGGCCACAGTGGGATACAAGGCTTGGAGGGGAGAGAGAAAAATTCCAGATGCTGATTCATGGGCAGAAGCAGTGCTCTTCCTCCCACTCAGATATCCCGCTGGCACCAGTTTCATATGGAAACTTGCCTTCTTCCTACAGAAAACACAACAGGCCCTGCCCAGTCCTGATAGGGGAAGCTGCTCATCACTTCTTCACACCCAGCAGAAGCGTGTTTCTGCCTCTCTGGCAAGTTTGTCCTTCAGAAGAAGACACAGCAAGGACAGCCCTGCTGATCTCTCCATGTGCCCCATCACTTCCACAGCACCAGAGCACTGGCATGCTTATGTACATGTATATGTGCATAGGCATGGTGGGAGCACTACGGAGGTCAGACAAGGCAGGTCATCTCTGAAGGGTTCTTCCTACTGGCAAGATGCAGCTTCTTTTGTACCTACAGCATTGATGGCCACATCACAGATGGTTAGTTAATAACCAATAACCAGCATTGATAGGGCCATGTGAACCTAGTGTCCTATACAGCCCTCTCCTGCTCCTCATGGACCTCCCATCAGGAATTGTCTCACTTCCCTCTCATGTACCAGCAGACACCCTCACATCTCCTCTAGTTTCTCGCACTACAGAAGCCACACCAAGCACTCTCTCATCTGGGAATACTCACGCTGCTGTCACATTAAATGGAGTCTGGTCCACCCAGTGCCACTGGCCCATCTGTGCACTCAGACCAATGTAGTGATTCTCTCCTCTTGAAGGCTTTTTAACCTCCTTAGAGAGGAAATCCTGGAAATGAGGGAGAGTGCAATGTCCATGAGATACAGGACTGAGCAGAGGGAGGTGGCAGGAGTCCCTGTGGAGTGGGGCTGGTGGCAGAAGGGAGCCGGTGCTGAAGGGATGCACAAAAGACATCCGTCCCCCCTCCCTTGCAGGACAAAGAGGGACTGAGTCCCCTCCCGTGCTGGCACTGGGGCTCTGGCTGCTGTGCCCCCCTCTCAGCCCTGCACATACCTGCTCTGCTTTGCTGTTGATCACCACCAGGTGAGAGCCCATCCCAGTGCAGTTCTGCTCGCTATCGGCCCAGGACATCACATCACCTGAGAGGTAGTAGCAGCTTCCTTGGAAGCGTTTCCAGCCCTTTGGGCAGCATGCCCAGCCCTCCTCTGTGGGGGGAGAAACTGCAGAGGTGAATGCTAAGAACAAAAGAGATGGCAATTACAAGGATCTCTGTTCTCCAGGGACAGTCATAGAATCCCAGATTGGGTTGGGTTGGAAGGGACCTTAAAACTCATTCAGTTCCAACCCCCTGCCATGGGCAGGGACACCTTCCACTAGACCAGGTTGCTCCAAGCCCCATCCAACCTGGCCTTGAACACTGCCAGGGCAACTTCTCTGGGCAACCTGTTCCAGCATCACCCCACCCTCACAACAAAGAATTTCTTCTTAATATCTAAAATCTCCCCTTTACCTTAAACCCATTCCCCTTGTTCTGTCACTACTGTCCTTTGTAAAATGTTCCTCTCCACATTTCTTGTAGGCCACCTTTAAGTACTGGAAGGCTGCTCATGTTCTCCTTAAATCACTTATCCTGATAGAAAGTGTTTGAAAAAACAAGGGTAGTACAGATATTTCTTGCCATTGCTTTGAGGCGTGACCAGTAAGCTTTGTGTACACAAATCCATAGTAATCCAGTCTCAACAAAGTCACTTTTAGTGGTCTGGTTTGTCTTCTCCTTTTGCATGAGGCCTTTCGACACAGGGGACAGGGGATAGCACTTTTTTATGTGACTAGAGCTGCACTTTTATTACTGCTCCCTTGTTAACCTTTCCTGTGCCACCGTACGCTGTCCCTTTTGTTGTGGCAGTGTTCACAGCCACCCTGTCCTCCAGGACATCATTAACATGTCCCTCTACTTTCCATAAGCCATTAGCAAGAAATCCTTTTTCCCCCCACCTCTCTCCACAGGAGTCTGCCTCTCCGGAGTCTGCTCCCACTGTCACTTGCTGTCAGAGCAGACCCCATCATTGACTGTTCCTGTCCTGCACCTCTGCCAGCGCTACTGACCTTTGCCTCCCGGCGCTGCCGAATCACACGACCACTCCTTGAATTTCTGCTTAAAGGCTGGGGGCTGATCACCACTATGGGAGAAGGGAGCGACTGGAAAGGGAGAGGAAAGGCAGCAGGATTACTCCTTCGTCCCACCTCCTCACACAGCATCTCTGGGCTTCACTCTTGTTTCTTCATTTCCCCACCAAGCACTGCCCCAGCATCACCGCTCCTTGGGCTGTCTCTTTCCATTTCACAAGTGGTAACTGCCATCCTCTCAGCAAAGGGGAAAGGCATTTCTGCTCTCAGCATCCCACAGCTGCCCACAAGGACTCCTCCCCACCACTGACTGACAAGGATTAGCTGGGATGACCTGGCCATAAAGCTAGAGAAGCCTGAGACCCACCCGAACAGCACCTTGTGGCCATAGCTGTTTGTCAACAGAGTCTGTCCCAGCCCCGAGCAGTTGACATCAGGTCCCCCTGGGATGCTGTGGAGCTGAAGGAGTGGGGTTGGTGGATCCCTGGTCCACAGCTCTGAGAAAACTGGCCCAAACAAGTGGTACGGCTGCCTTCCCAGCCAGAAAGAGACAATCTTCCATGTCAGAGAGCAGAAGGACCACTGGAAGGACATCACTGAGATGACGAATAGACTGGAATTGATTCCATCCAACCACAAGCATTTACATAATAGACATATGTATTACTTATCACACCCTGATCAGTTTCCAGTCAATATCCCTGAATGTTCCAGTTGGTGGTAAGTCCTTTGGGTTGTTGATGTGGCCTGCTGACACCTATCGCACTAACTTCCATGACTCAGGAACTAATGACAGCAAAAGGAAGGGCACCAATTTATCCTTACAACATACCTCTTCCAGAATCCATCATCTTTACTGACCATTTGTACAAACATGCCATGAATGATCTTTCATAGAAAATGAGAATGAAACAGTGGTTGCAATCTCCACAGACTGTGTGTGCAAGTGTAACTTCATTAATTACTCTAGTATACTGTAAGACTCCTGGAGGTGCCAGGACTGTGAAAAGCCATTTTTTGCATTAGGACATGAAGTGTGTGCCAGCCCCTTAAAGAGCTCAAGCGCAGGTTCAGCTGCCTGTACACTTCTGCTGCCATCTCCATTTCTTCCTCACCCCTTTCATTAATGCAATTAAGGTCTTTCTTTGTGGTGTGAAGGTAGAGAGTTGTTCCGCATTTCCAAAGAGGCTCTGCAAGATGGGGATGTGCAATCATAGCAAAAATGATGATTGATCCTTGATCTGGGAACACTGAAGAGGCCTCAGGGTAAACAGTGGAAGGTTTGGGAGATACATGCAGACACATGCAAAGTGAGACCTTACAGAAAGCCCAAAACCCTCTGAAATCCTGAAGATGGCCATGCTTCAACTAGTCTAGAGACCCCCAGAAGCTGCTTCCCACCTAACTCTGTCATTCTAAGAGGATGGGTATAACAGAACCATACGGCATAATGCTGTGGTAGTCCTTGCTCCTGCAAACCAAACACCTGGTTTGGCTGATTTGTGCCATGGCGCAACTGCACCCTTCAATCCCCAATGTTTAAGTAGCCAGCAAAGATTTTGCTCCTAAACATACCTTTCAAATATTCAACATGCAGGTTTTCTGAATCCAAATGTTGGTTCTTGCATCCTTTCTCATGACAAGGCAGCTCCCTAGTAAAAGCTGTCTCCCAGTTAGAAGATATTCCCCTCTGGACTCTGATTTCTTTGCTTTTCTTGGAGCACTTCCCCTAGACCTTTCTCCCACAACCAGCCTACACATACTCACCAAGGAGAACAGCAAGAAGGGCAATGCACAGCAGGAGGAGCAGCAGTGAGATCAGCCACGGGAGCCATAGGGGGTATTTCTGGGGATGGTGCTGTTGCTTCTTTGTTTCAGGAGGTACTAGAAGTGAAGGAACACACCAAACACAACACCACAGTCAACTGTGCCTCAGTCAGTCCGCATACCAACGGTGTATAACAATTTAAGGGGGAGCTACTCCAAAAAAAAATGCTAAGTCATCTCTGATGTGGAAGTTACACAGCATGGGAGAAGGGCAGCCTGGGACAGAGCAGGGGACCTCTGTGGTTTCTGCAGTTCACAGTGTTCACAGCCCCAGACCAGCTAATGAGCTAAGGGTTGTTAACTGCTGCTGTTGGGGAAGAGGTCTTCACGAAGCCTCAAAATCTGCACTGAAACCACATCTCTCTAGATTAAGCCCAAAGTTGCTGAATACAGCATTAATCTGCCCATGATACTTGAGACGTTCACATGAAGGTTTCATGCTTACTTCTCCCCAGAAAACTCTTTATGCCTGCTTCAGTTCCTTCATAGCTTTTTGGCCTTCCCGTGTAGAAGGTTGGTGTAAGCCAAATGAGCACAGGAGACAAGAAACATGCAAAGCTCTGATGCCACAGAATCACTGGAAGATTTAAAAAAACCAAAACACACACACACACACACACACACACACACACACACACCCTGCCCCTTCTATGCCTGCTTCTTGACCCATGGTTCACTGACCTGCTGCAGTAAAACTAGGCTGTGCTAGGCTGGATGCCTGAGCACAACAGAGGGCTGTGTCCAGCAGCCTCAGTGAAGTATCCAGCTCAGATTCAGACTTGCCAGGGCTTGGCTTTTCTCTAGAGGGATACTGCCAGAACTGAAGAGGTTTTGGGAGCAGGCAGGAGGTGAAAGGGAAGGAGAAGCAAATACTTGTTAGGAGGCTTTTCCAGGTTGTGGCAGGTACACAAGCCAGGGAAAACAGGAAGGTAAAGAAAGAAGAGCACTCAGTGCAGGACAGGAGTAAATAAGTTTTGTGAGAGACTGCAGTTAACAAGCTTTAGAGAGCCCTCATCCATTGTTCAGCATGAAACTTAAGTCTGCCAGGGGCCACACGTGCCTGCCACCCATGCTTAGTAAGCAAGACTCCCAGAAACTTGCTGTTTGGGGAAGCCCTCTGACTGCTTCCCAAAGGCTTGGGGCAATTGCTACAGCAGGGCAAAAAGCATCATCTTTCATTCTCAGAAAACATTCAGAGACCTACAAGACCCAGATTTCCCTGGCCAAACCATATTTTTCTAGCCAGAGCTTTTGTCTGTAGGGAAAACAAGGACCCTGGTCATGATCTGGAGTCCAGCCACCTACTTCAGACAGTAGATCTGAGCAGCCCAAATGATTTTTCAACGTGCTGCATATCTACAGATTGACTGTTCATTCTGTGCACCCCTCACACCCAGGTGGCAGAGAGAACACTGCAGTGTGTATGCATCTCACCAACACAACTGAACTGCAGTAGATCTTTGCATACTCAGTGGGCTAATCTTCTTGCAAAATGCTTCCTCCAGTTAGCCTGCATGCTTGCAGTATGTCCAGCATGATCACAGCACAACAAACCTGATAAGTATATGCTGATTATTCAGCATGTAACTCCAACATCTGCTAGGCACATGTAACCCAGTTGGAAATACAGGAACCCTAACTGCACTGTGGTGTGAAACTCCGCCCTGTACTCTCTGCCATCTCCTGCCACAGATTATATGTTGATTAGCTGCTACCTTCTCCTCTCTATCTTCCAATGCCTGCCAATTTCAGTATATCTAGAGCCCAACTGGAAGAGGCTACAAAATGGGAAAACCCAGGTATGCTCGGCCAATACCAACATGGAGCCTGCATAGCCAGAATAAGCACTCAGGACTACAGAGCAGCAAGACTCCCTCAGTCTTTCAACAATTTTCAATCATAACTCTCATCTTATGAGCATACCATGAAGGTGTGTGAGAGATATTAGCACTGCATGCAGTGGTACTACTGGTGGTTTCTTTGAATTCAAAGCTACACACCCAAACCTATAGCATGAGCAGCATCAGCAGCTCAAGGAAACACGGTTCAATAAGGTTCTTTGGAATAGGTCATAGCTCAGTTAAGAACTTCCACCATCCCCAGCTCACCGTGATGGGAATGCCAGCTGTAACCAGAACCAGCTCATCTTAGTGCATTGAAAACAGTGAACTTTGAAGTCAGTCAGGAGTATGTACATTCTTTATTTCCATGACTCATGCCTCAGAGCAGGAAGGAAATATCCTGGAGCTGATGCCTGCTCTGTTTGGAATTATAAAACTAAGATAAAGCGGTAAATAGGCATGTTAATATCCTTAGCAGCAATAAACTATTATTTATTCATTCATTCATTCATTTACACACACATACTTTAACCCCTCTGAAACCTGCTATTGTGTGGGGTCCTGTATCTAAGGGTGGAAGAAATGAGCCACACATGGAACATCTCTATGTGTTCCTGTGCGTGGCATAATGATTACAGAATACATACTCATCAGAACATGACTTAAATTTGCACAAAGCCCAGAAAAGGCACCATTTTACAGCCAAGACTTTTAATAGCCATGAAAATTTGTTTGTTCGATGTGTTAATTATTTTTCAGGAGTGGTAGACATCAAATCACAAAAGTGGATCTTTCCACAGATCTTAGATAATTCTTTCTCTGGATCTTTTAGCGTGTTTTCTTCAAGCCCATTTTAACTTGTAACTTCAGTTCTCTCTCTTCTCCAAGGGCTCAGTTCTCAGCCAAGAACAATGGACAATAGAAGTTTCTGCATTCAGTGCCACCTCTCACAAAGCTGAAGAGGACAACTGACTGTTCTACTATAAGGAGGCATGTTGGTTCTCTACTACTGCTCTTTTCATGGGCAGGAATCTGTAGCCTTACTCTCCCAGAGGCAAGAGCAGTAGCAGCCAGGGCTTGGGCTTATTTACTGTCATTTGCTGCCCCAGGAGCCACTCAACCCTTGTGGCAGATCAGATTGTTTGCAATAAATCAGAGTCTCTATTGGTACTCAGCATTTGTCCAAAAATTACTCTCTCATTCAAGACTACATAACATGCAACATTCCTCCAGTCTCCTGCTCATGTACTGGTAAACAACTCATTTTTATCAACCCTTTCTTTGTCAAGACCAGCTAGGAAGCAGAGTCACAGAAATCAGTCTCTGTTCCCTGTTTTTCAGCCCCCTTCCCCTGAATAACCCATCCTTACCTTTGACCACTGCAGCTGGTGATGTATTCTGGAACTTCACCTCAGCATAAGTGATTTCTGATGCCATTTAATCACAGTGTGATCACTGGCCCTGTCCTTAGTTTTGCCACGTAAAACGTGGGTCTTTTAGGTGCCTGATTCCAGAGGGAGACACCAATAAGTCACTGAGCCTTTCCCATCTGCTCCTCCACCTTCTGTCTGTCAAAGAAGGCTGTGCTGAACACTGGAAGTACTGGTGATAACCTAAGAATTCCTGGGAATTCAAAAATGCTTTGTTTCTTAGCCCAGGACATCAGACCTGACAGTATGGAAACTTCTGAGAGAGAAAAGAAAAATGAGAAACTAACAACTGAAAAGGAAGTCGCATTCTTACTTCCCCATGTCAGATTCTCAGCTGATAGGTTTCCTTTTTAAGATCTCTTAGTTTGTTTTTCATTTTCCATCCTTCCTTTTTTAACTCTCTCCCCTTATCTTCATGACTTTCTTAGTCTGTTAGTAATTCTACCATTGCTCTTAGGTTTGCAGCTATCCCAGATCTTAGCCCGGTTTAAGCTGTGGCACATCCATGTATAAAATGCATTCTGCCCTCACTTGTCATTTGTGGTTAAGATGTGTTTGCTACATCAAATATTGCATGCTATGTCCCATCCTGGGACGTAAGCCCCGGTTGGCAATAGAACAAATCACAAAAGAGGAACTGCCTCTGGGAAATCTCAGCCTTAGACACAGGAATAGAAATAATCAGAAGTTTGATATATTCAAGCAGAAACAGAGAAGAATGAGGCCAGAGTTGGGGAGAAGAACAAAAGTAGGAAAAACAAGAAGTAAAATGGTGTTGCTGGTTTGAAAGGTTGTTGGGAAGAGCACACGCAGACCCCTTTCTACCACAGATCAGTGTTTGCTTCAGGGAGTCAGGCTCCATTTCTGAGGCTGAAAAGGGATAGTTTATATTTTTTTTCTCCAACACCATCTTTTATCTCCCCTTTCTGCTTTCTGGTAAAGGCCTCTGATACTACCTTGAGGAAAATGTCAGACTACTGCTTAGTCTGACTTCAAGCTGGGGCAGATGTTTAAAGGAGACATTTAAGGGAAATGGCTGCTGAGCTGCACGCTGAATCAGAAAGGCTTTTGAGAGGAAATGCCAGTGAGTCAGGGTACCCTGGAGAAAAATGGTTCAGTCAGCAGATAGGCCTCAGGAATCACAAAACAGCTTTGGTTAGGAGGGACCTTAAAGCTCATCCAGTTCCAACCCCTGCCATGGGCAGAGACGCCTTCCACTGGGCCAGGTTGCTCCAAGCCACATCCAACCTGGCCTTGAACACTGCCAGAGATGGGGCAGCCACAGCTTCTCTGGGCAACCTGTGCCAGTGTCTCATCATCTTCATCATAAAGAACTTATTCCTTATAGGTAACCTAAATCTAGCTTCTTTCAGTTTAAAACCTATGCCCCTTGGCCTGTCACTACAGGTGGGGGGTAAAAAAAATCTCCATCTTTCTTATAAGCCCCCTCTAAGTATTGAAAAGCTACCGTAATGTTTCCAAAACAACCAGAAGGAAGGAGGAGAAAGCTTTGCTTGGTTAGTTTGCCTAGGTGGAATTTCTTCCTTCCTGACTTGAGATGCTTGCAGGACATGCAGGGAGCTAGCACAGAGGGCACACAGGGCTGAGCTGGAGGTGAGGTAGGACAGTGCAAGGAAGAATATGCATCAGACAGTAGAGGAGGACAATGCGGCAGAAGGTAAGGGGCAAGGAAGGGAAGTAATGCATGTCTGTCAGATTATGCAGAATCTGCCCCTGAATGGAACAAGGCATATGTAGCTGGATTTCTTTAGCAAGGGGCCTCCTCATGCCTCATGTGCACTGAGCTGACTTCACTTCTCCTTTTGTGTTGTGTGCAAAGACAGTAACTTTTACAGAACAGTTACAAGACAGAAGCCTGCTCCCTTGAGAAGATGCATGCTACCTGCTTTTCTTTCCAGCATCCTACCAGCGCTTTCTGTTGTCTTCAGGCTTGGCCTTCTCACAGGAATGAAGGTTCCCAAAGTGTTTGCTGAAACCTAGTTATGCCTCAAACTGAGATTTCAGTCACAGCAATCTCCTGTGTGCTTCCCGCCTGTTCTGGCCAACCAAACCCCAACAGGGGAAAAGGCTTACTCCCCTGCAGGGTTTCAAGCTTTCCACCATGAAGAAATACAGGAAACACAATCAGCAGATAAAGAAGGAAGTCACAGTGTATATTCATGAGCTTTTTGCCACTGAAACATCTCCAAACACAGCTGAGGCATTTCGAATGCAAATTCAGGATCTAGCTGTTGATTTTATTAGAACACACTCGATTATGCTCAGACATCAGGAGACAGCTCAATTCTTTCATCTCAGCCATCAGACTTGTTGCTTGCTGTCAAAATTCGACCCTGAATAATACTTCCATGGGATACAAATGCTGAGCCCTTGCGCAACAACAGTGAGGTAGTATTCCTAAGAGTAAAATTTGTGCTTTAAATTTCATACGCACTGATGGCATGTAAATGGAGAACTGAGTCAGGCAGTTAGTTGTGGGGCTGAAAACAGTGGGAGAAAAGGTAAACCTTGCTTAAAAAGAAATAAATAGAACCTCGCACTTTATGTCCTTGCATTCCCTCTGCTGTTCCTCAGGTCCTCCTTTCCCCTTCCGCCTGTGTTCCACCCCATGCAGAACACCCTTGTCCTCCCACAATACATGTATTTCCCCACAGATATCTTTCATCTAAACCCTACTTAGCACTGCCAGGTACCTCCCACTCTCTGAATTCCCACATACTTTACAAGACCCAGCTCCTAGTGTATTTGCTCAACACAACAGTCCTGTTTTCCGTTCCTTATGCTCCAGCTGCTGCCTTTAGTTGGTTGCTCTGCAAGCTGTGTGGGTACCATTTGGCTAGCTGACCCAAACAGAAAGCAGCAGAGGCACTAGCACTCTTTTTCCCCTACCTGTTGATGAAGTTTGGGTAAAGCAGTATCTGCAAGCCTTTCACCTCACAGCCAGTTTCACCCAATTTAGTAAAGAGGTCCTCACTTGGAGTATTGTGTACAGTTCTGGTGTCCTCAACATAAAAAGGACATGGAACTGTTGGGACAAGTCCAGAGGAGGGCCATGAGAATGATCAGGGGACTGGAGCACCTCCTGTATGAAGATAGGCTGAGAAAGTTGGGGCTGTTCAGCCTGGAGAAGAGAAGGCTGTGTGGAGACCTCATAGCAGCCTTCCAGTATCTGAAGGGGGCCTATAGGGATGCTGGGGAGGGACTCTTCATTAGGGACTGTAGTGATAGGACAAGGGGTAATGGGTTAAAACTTAAACAGGGGAAGTTTAGATTGGATATAAGGAGGAAATTCTTTCCTGTTAGGGTGGTGAGGCACTGGAATAGGTTGCCCAAGGAGGCTGTGAATGCTCCATCCCTGGCAGTGTTCAAGGCCAGGTTGGACGAGGCCTTGGGTGATACAGTTTAGTGTGAGGTGTCCCTGCCCATGGCAGGGGGGTTGGAACTTGATGATCTTAAGGTCCTTTCCAACCCTAACTATTCTATGATTCTATGTAACAGCAGGAGACAGCACCATTGCACACACCTTCTTTCAAAATCAAGCTGAAGCAGGTGAGTTAAAATAAAGCTCATAAGCAGAAACGAGGACTTGAATCCTAAAGCTGGGATCCCATACATTCCTAGAAAATAAAAATCCCCTTTTGAAGTTGAGCACAGCTGTGGGGGAAGCTGCAGGGAAATGAGACACTTGCTATAAGCCAGCCAGAATACGGAAAGGGCAGCTGAGCAGATTTAGTCATCACAAGTGGTATGGAGGTTATACAGAGACATCACATTGGCAGCCCAAAGCCAATACCTAGTACCTCTTTAGAAGATTTGAGAAAAGGCAAAAGGAAGCTGACGTGGCTAAAAAGTCATGGCAAAGGGATTATCAGCATTCATTCTTCAACAAGCTGACCTTGCATTCGAACGAGGAACACTGAAGTGATCATAACCTCCAGTAAGTGTTAAAGCACAAGAAAGCAAAGGTTAAAAAAAGGAGACTGAAAAACACTAGCAGAAGGCATCAGAGCTAGTAATAAATCCTTTCCTACAGCTAATGAAAGCAGAAACCTTTCCACAAGCTTTGAGGACAGCTGAAGAGCAGGGTGCAAAAGAAGCAGTCAGAGAGAACAAGGAGATCAAAACAAAGCTAAAGTAATTAATCTGTGACAGCGCAAGAAACTGGAGAAATTCCTACATAAACCCCCTGTTTTGTGGGAGACTAAACCAAAGGACCTATCCAAAACAAAAGGTACGGAATTAATAGGTCTGGATAAAATGGTCCCAGGGGTTCCCAAGAAACTCAGGGGGAAACAGTTGCTAATAGCAGTGGGAGGCCTCTCACCTTAAATTACCTTTTAATCAGCAAATCACAGGATGGCAAGGAATATATCAAAGTGTGGGGAGGAGAGAAGTCTAGGGAGATTTAGGAAGCTAAAGCTTTGACATCTGTAGTGGCCAAGTTAATAGAAATTGCAATGAATAGAAATGTGTATAAGTATGATGTACTTTGGGAAGAGCCAATGTAAGACTTGCAAGGAAATTCTGCCCCTTGTAGTTCTTTGAAGAGATCAATAATCATGCACGGGGATAATCTAGCTGTCTGTTGAGTTCCTCAGCAAACACTTCTAAGGGAAGTGAACAGCCATGGGATAAGAAGAAAGATCTTTTCATGGTAAGCAGACAGAAAAGGTGAGTAGGAATTAATGGTCAATTCCCACAGTGGAGGGAGAGCGCCTACAGAGCTCTACCAGGTCTGTAACAGGATACACACTAACATTTCCTTAAACAATATGGTGAAGAGAAATGATATGACAAAATCTGCTAATGATTTTTGTCAATCAAATACCATATAAATCAATCAAATACCAATCAAACCAACCAATAACCAAACTGATCAGGGCAGTTATTCAAGAGCCAGTTGCAAAGAACTGCAGAAAGATGAGACCAAGCAGCAGAGTGGTAAAAGGGCAGAGTCCTGTGTATGTAAGCAATGCTCTTTAGGGAAGTGGGTAATGAAGCAAAGCCCTTTAGGAAAATCAGCACTAACTTCACACATAAAATAGTGGGTTCGGAGGTTACTATTGAACATGTAAAGAAAATATAACTCGGACTGTAACAGTTGGGTGAGAAAACCTGATCTGAGGAAGAGTGACCAGCAAATTAAACACCAGGCACAGTGAAAAAGGCACAAAGAATGAAACAGAAAATATTGTTATGGCACTGTATTGTTATGTCCTCATAACTCAAACCATCTGAAGAAGCATACAGCAGGTCCAGAAAAGGCTCAGAGAAAGACAAGGGTGAAAAAAATGGTGTAGCATGACTGTTGCATAAAGAACAATAGAGATAGGACAGTTCTACGCTGAAGATGGGAAGACACAGAGGTTTACAGAACCATCAAGGAAAGGCTGAGTGAGGACTGAGTCAGTTCTGTTTCTTTTAATACAAGAACTGTGGGCGATAAAAGGGGTCAGTTACTGAAGGAAGGTGGTTCTTCACAAACACAGCTTAGGGCAATAAACTCCTTTATCCAGGATGCTGGGCATCCTGAAACCTTACTTGGCTTAAAGGTGGAACATGTCACAAAATAATGTGAGAGAAATGCACTGAGAGTTTACTTAAGGCAAAGTAACCACACCCTAGTCAGCAAGCTCCTATTCTGATAACATTTGACATGGGGCAAAGCATTAAAGCAGAACAATTTGTATGTATGCCCTGTTTTTACTCTTTAGGCACTGACATTTGTCCGAAGCATATAGCAGGTGAAGGTTGGGCAGGTGTGGAGAGTACAGCTTCAGGTTCTGC